GTAGCAGTGGTATGAAAAACCATGCGGGCTAATGACTGATCCGAGCGAGTTTGTGTACAGGGAGAAGAGGAGGGGACCAAGAACAGAGCCCTGAGGGACCCCTGCAGTTAATTGACAAGGGTCGGACTCGGACTCGGACCCTCTCCGAGTTACCCTGTAGGTGCGGTCTTTGAGGTATGACTTGAGGAGGGAAAGTGCAGAGCCTGAAACTCCAAGTTCTTGGAGAGTGCGAAGGAGGATCTGAAGGTTCACCGTGTCGAATGCAGCAGACAGGTCCAACAAGATGATGACAGAGGAGAGGGAGGCTGCTTTAGCCATGTGCAGTTCCTCAGAGACAGCGAGGAGAGCAGTTTCTGTGGAGTGACCTGCCTTGAAACCAGACTGGTGCGGATCCAGAAGGTTGTTCTGATGGAGATAACAGGAGAGTTGTTTAAAGACAGCGCGTTCAAATGTTTAGACAGGAACGGGAGGAGAGAGACAGGCCTGTAGTTTATAACATTGGACGGGGTGAGAGTGGGTTTCTTTAAGAGAGGGTTTACTCTTGCCTCCTTGAGACTGTTTGGAAAGTGACCAGAAGTTAGAGAAGTGTTGATGAAATGGGTGAGAAACGGTAGAATATCAGGAGCGATAGTCTGAAGGAGGTTTGAGGGTAAGAACTTCACTTGTACCTCATTCACACCAACAGTGTTTCAGGGCTGGTTCGTAGCTGGAGCTTGAAAAGTACCGGGTTTTCCTCTTCACACCGCAGCGGAGCAGCCTCTTAGCTCCGGAATCCGGTTCGTTTCAAGCACCAAAAAATTGTCCGGCCAGAGCAAAAGCACCACATACGTCACGCTTACGTCGAGGCGGGGGCAGGGGCAGAGACAGATCAACTCCTCCTGAACAACAACAAAAAGCCCGCGTTTTATCCAGTTTGTACACAACGATGGAGAAACTTAACAAGAGTTTCAGAGTTTCAGTGTTTCTGCCATAGACTGTATATATAAAGGTTTCTGCTCATGGTGAAGCAACGTGTCTGCGTGTTAAGGTGGAACCTGAGCATTCACGTTGATCACCTCTCATTATAACTTATAAATCTATAAAACTATAAATATTAAACTTTACTTCACGTGTTCATTTGAGAACAGCTGTTACATACCTGGGTGAAGGTTACAGTTCATTTAAATGAAAGATACAACGTTACTCCACACTCATGGTTCAGTCCACCTTAAGAAATAAGACCGACCTCGGAAGCAGTTGTGTTTTAAAAAAACCTTTATTGACACAAGTACATTTTTTTATAAGAATATAACTAAACCACAGAAATGACTCCAGAAAAGCTGCAGATAGAGCCATAAGAAATGAATGCAACTGATTTAATCCGTGCGGTTTGGCTTTATGAAGCAGGCACGCAAACGGTTACATCATGACGCAAACAATGACGCAACAACGCATTACCAGTCGGACTCTGGGCGGTGTGAAAAGAGCTAGAGCTAAACCGAAGAACTGGTTCTGAACCTGAAAAGCTCTAGCACGGAGCTTGAACCGGAGTTGCGTTGGTGTGAATGAGGTATTGGAGAGAGACGGGAAAAGGAGGTTAGTGTGTGGGTGAAAGGGGGGTCTGGTGACCCAGCGGTGAGTAAAGGTGAGTCAGAAAAAGAAGAGCGAATATCATCAACCTTTTTTTCAAAGTGGTTAAGAAAGTTGCTTGACAGAAGGGAGGAGGGGGAAGGGGCTTTGGGGGGGTCCAGGAGGGTGGAGAAGATGGAAAATAGTTTTTTGGGATTGGAATAGGAAGATTGGATCTTATCTTGGAAGAAAGTGCTTTTTGCCTGAGAGATCAAAGCAGAGAAAGAGGAGAGGAGAGCCTGATAGGTTAGGAGGTCGTCACGGTGTTTGGATTTCCACCGTTTCCGCTCTGCTGCCCGAAGGATGGTTCTATTAGCACGCAGTGTGTCATTTAGCCAGGGAGCAGGAGGGGACTGACGAGCCTGCCGAGATGTGAGAGGACAGAGAGAGTCCAGAGAGGATGAGAGAGTAGAGAGGAGAGTTTCTGCAGCAGAGTTTGGAGGCAGGAGTTGGAACGAGTCAGAGGAAGGGAGGGCTGAGAGCACCGATGAGGCAAAGGTAGAGGGGGAGAGGGAACGAAGGTTACGGCGGACAGGTGCAGAATGAGAAAAGATTTTTTGTTATGTTTGGAAAGGGGTAGAGAGAATGAAATGAAGAAGTGATCGGATGTGTGAAGCGGGTTTACAGAGAGGTTAGACGTAGAGCAGTTCCTTGAGAATATGAGATCAAGGACATTGCCAGCTTTATGAGTTGGTGGGGATGGAGACAGTGAGAAAGCAAAGGCGGTTAAAAGAGATGTTAGTTCAGATGTCTTCCCTGTCTGGAGGTTGAAGTCTCCGAGAAGTACAGCGGCAGGGCCAGTTTCAGGGATGTGTGAGAGGAGATTAGGAGGGTTAGGGTTAGATCAAACCACCAACACTCTTAGGGTTAAGGATTGGTAAACGATTATTAACCCCCTGAGCCACAGTTGCCTTTTTTCCAATCATGTCCATTTCAATCAATCAATCAATCAATGTTTATTTATATAGCCCAATATCACAAATGTTACATTTGTCTCAGTGGTCTTCACAGTGTGTACAGAATATCAGTATGACAATACGACACCCTCTGTCCTTAGACCCTCACATCGTACAAGGAAAAACTTCCAGAGAAAACCCACAGTTTAAAGGGAAAAATGGGAGAAACCTCAGGGAGAGCAACAGAGGAGGGATCCCTCTCCCAGGACGGACAGACGTGCAATAGATGCCGTGTGTAAATTGAAAAGATAATACATTTGCAACATAGGTAGTCCAAATGTTTGGAAATGCATGTGTGTATAATAAGAAGATGAATCCACGAGGATATCCATCCAGGACCTATGATCCAGGACCACAGCCACGACTCGCAATCCAGGGCTCGCAATCCAGGACACAGGACCGCAGGATCATCCATGACTCCGGATCCCGGCGTATATAGACACCAAAAAGAAAGACATTTGGGGAAGCTGGATTAATCGGAACATGAGAGTACACAGGTATAGACAGAGAGAAGGAAGAAGTAAGATGTCCCCCGACAAACTAAGCCTATATCAGCAAAACTAGGGGCTGAATCTAATCAGCCCTAACTATAAGCTTTATCAAAAAGGAAGGTCTTAAGCGCACTCTTAAAATAGGGTGTCTGCCGCCCGAACACAAAGTGGAAGCTGATTCCACAAAGGAGTTTCTTGGGAAGTATCTTGCCCATATACACTTTGACACTTTTACTGATGGAGCTGGGGGTCAAACCACTATCCCTCCAATTGTTGGATACCCGTTTACACCCTAAGTCGTCCTAAATAGTCTAATCGATAGAATACGGCATATGAAGATATTGCATTTTACATTTATATTCACATGCAAAAATCTACATTTATGAAAAAACAAATGCCCTCAAATAGAATGTTACACTTAATTTAATCTGATACCAATGGGTTTAGTAAAAAAAACGACATTTTGATAATAGTGTGATAACAGAAGCTGAAGCATTTCCACTTTCTTACATAGCTCTGATATAACATGTTAAGATATGATGCGGCCAAGAGCCTGAACGGTGATGTAACAGCAGCACTGCAGTCTGAAGGGATCCCCCCGTCACAGCCCCGCATGAATATTTCAGATCCTAACTGCTACCGGGGCTACATCCAGACACAAACCTACCGTCATACTCCCAGTCTGATTATGAAACCTTCAGAAAACCTCTATCGCTTGGTTTCCTCTCATCTATTTTTTCAAAGTGAGCCGGGGGCTTGTGTGGGTGGTTCCAGAACATGTGCAGGCGTTCTGCTTTACTCTTTTATCAGAGAGGAAGAAGACATATTCATACCACTGATTAGCACCATGGAGACAGATCCCAGGGTCCCTGTCAGCTGAACACTGCGGTACAAACAAGAGTTCTCTACTTCCTGTCGTTACACACTAGACTGGAAGCATTATCAAAGAACCTAAGTGTTATGGATTTCAGGCTGATAGTGTGGCTATGTTATGGAATGAAATCAACTGATCTCCTTTTAAATATGAAATCAAAGTTGTTACTACCTAAAATACTGTTGCAGTAAACTGTCATTTTTCAATGTTCAATGTTAGTCAATAAAATTGCATCATTGAATCAAGCATATTTTTTAGAAACATGTAAACATTCTTTGTGCAAAGCCTTTCACTGCTTGATTAACACAACATTATGTGATTGGTCCACCAATGCCACCTGCTGATGTGACTCACACGACCATGACTCATCATGTCTTGTTGTTCATTGATTTACAGAGGAAAATCAATAAATGCACTCTGTGTGAATTGGAGCTACCTGCAGTCTAGCATTGTATTCATGTAAGTAACACCATGCTAGCAAAAGGTTTGAATGGATGCTGGTCACAGTGATGCTTCTTAAGATGCCTTGAGGTCACTATGTGAAAATATGGAGGGGGGTTGTCCTTGCATGTCCTCTGCAGCCGTAAGGGGGGGCCGAGGTCAACAGAGCCCTTCAACAACAGCTCAGATGAGAAGTTTGTCAGAAACACTGAGTTTCACAGACTGCTGACTTGTCTTTAGAAAACTGGTCTGCTTTATGATTTTCCCACTTGGCCTTTGGTTTATATCAGATCAGCATTTTAACTGCCCCCTCATGCCTTCAGCTGCTAAATCTGTTGTATCAGAGTGCATTACACTTGATCACTAATGACACATTATATACTGACTATTGTTGTCTGTATCACTGTTAAGATGACTTATAAACTGAGAAAAAATGTAAAGCTGTACTGTTGAAGCTTACACTATCTCATATCATTTTTCCTGAAATGAGAAGTGGAGCAGTGTAGACCCAAATGCAGTAGACAGGCTCTTTTAACCAAAACGTTTTATTGTTACGCAGAATCCAGGAAGGGCCAGGTAAAGCAAAGCAGGACGAACAGAACAGAACTTCATGGAAAACGACATACAAGTTGGAGGCGGGGCCCGATGTATTCCTGGGAAAGTTGCTCAGTGGCATGGACTGACTGTAGGTACACAGATAGAGAAAACTTCAGGATCAGGAAACTCATTTAAATCTCAACTACAGTAACCCATTCAGTTGATTGGTTTTCAAATGTTATAGCCTTCGCATTTGTTTTTTTTATTTGACACTTAAATTGTTTTTTACTAGTTCTTAGTTGATTGTGGTTGTCTGGCATTATTTGTCTATATTGTCTTTTTCACTGGATGTCTGATTAGGAATGTGTCTTGTTCTCGGGGCTCAATAAGATCCCTAGCTCAACAAGTCTATTTGATTAAATAAAGTTTATGATAAAAGCTGGAAACATGTGCCTGTGCAAATATGATCTCAAGGAGTGATGCTGAACAACATGCATGCTCTGTATCCAATAATCCCCCCCCCCCCCCCCCACTCTGAGGCAATGCAAGACGTTTACTTTGTGTTTCTTGGTTGGATTCACAAAGCAAATACACTGACACCACCAGATCCCACCAATGAGTCATTCATTGCCTGTCTAGTGTTTTATTATAGATGTGTGTTCATTTATAGCCTCCAGATCTAATAGCCCCTTCATTATATTTGCTCACTCCCTTTGTGCCCTCTCCTCCACCCAGGAATGTAATAAAAGAGTTGTCATGCTGAACGTGTCCATTTGGTTCGTAGACTCAGCTGCTCCTCCTCTGTTTGCATGGCAAGCAAATGAAGGCCCGGACACCGTCGGGTCTTTTCAGCCGGGTCGACGCCTTTTGGGCCGAAAGCCGCATGTTCATATCATTGTAGTAGTTTGTTGACTCTAAATACAGTTATTCATTAGTCAGAATGGCTTTGGTGGCGAGGCTAACATCATCCATGTAATACAAGAAACATCTCGTAGTCTGCCATTGTTGTTATTGTGATGGATATTCATGCTAGTCGGACCAACTAGAAACCAAACCAGTTCTAATAAAGAACTGATCTAATTTCAGTGGAAAAGTCTTATCAGATTTGGGAGGGGGTGTGTAAGCTGGCAAACAAAGAACAGTGTTTCAGATTGCTGCTTTGGAAATACGCCAAGTAGAAGAGGTAATATCAGCTCAATGAACTTCCAGTATTAACTAAAAGTACTCCTCCAGTCAAATGTGCCAGTCAGTTATTAATGATTGTATAATACTTGATTGACACATGTATGTGTAAGCAGCATTTTACTGTTGAGTTGGTTTACAATATATTCAGTAGTTCAGTTCCACACCATGGTAGTTGTGTAATTTCAAAGGGTCAACTGATGCTTTCATACAAGAATCTACTGTTATAATCCCTGAGCTTAAACACAACTAGGGGGAAAAACAGGGAAAAGTGATGAATGTATATACTGTATTCACAGTAGCACAGACATTTGTAAAAAGCACCAAACTAGGCAGTATCAGAACCTCAGAATGCTAACACCATCCTTTTCTTACTGTACTGCAGCACATACACATTTCTTTTTAGAAAGCTGACATTTTCCATATTACAATAAAAACACCCAATTGAGTACCTACGTAATTACTCACCTCGCAGAGTCAGACTTGTAAAATGAAATATCCGTAGCTCCAACAGAGTCCTCTATGTGCAGTAGGTAATGTCGTTAGCTGATGTCATCTCTCCAGGTGTACGCTCCACCAGCAGCTCTGGTTTCTTGGCAGTGTTTTATGAAAGATTAGGTCACCGTATACCTCATACTCCATCCTTATGAATGTGCAATATTGTTAGCTCTGGTGATTTATTTCCTGCAAGAGATAAGTCATACACTCTCAGGCGCCTGATCTGGTCCCAGAGAGCGTATGCTGTTCAAGCTGTAAAAACTCAATTTCTACTTCATTATTATAGTCTTTTTTTCATATCATATCGTTGTTGTCTGATGACCACCACCATTAAAACTTGCCTAGTATAGTTCTTCTTGACCTTTTGTCGTCCACCATCATCAGGTACATTTTTCATTGGACAAGTACTTGGGTTCTGAGCATTCATGCTATCCAGGGGATTAATCCTCGATGATTACTTGAGTACCATCATTAAGAAACATCTGACAATTGTAACATCAAATATAAAAACATTTAATTGATTGCCATGCCAAGCTTTTAGTGGTAGTAAGGATCCCAACATAGCTTAACCCTTGTGTTGTTTTCGGGTCTCCCGTGACCCGTTTCAAGTTAAAATTATATAATAACTACGCTCTAGTTTTTTTTATCGGAACTAGGCTTCATGATGTCCTCCACAACAGCTGTATATAAATACTATACAACTAATTTTCTCAATTTTAGCCAAGTCTTAAGGTCTCTAAAAAAAGATAAGTGTATAATTTGGTGTTCGGGTCTGGGAATACCCAGCAGCATTGTTTTGGGTGACTCGGGGTCATCTTTAGACACCCCACCCCCTTCATTCACTGTAACAATAATTTTTTCGCAACATGCACCTGGCCCCCCTCCCCCCACGGGAACTCCACCTTTCACAAAGAATATGTACACTAACACTTGAACCTGAACACACCTTTTTTCTCATGCAGTACAGTTTGGGGGTTTAATAGCATTATAGTCAAGGCCGGTTTTAAATCCTTTTTTTTCAAAACGTTAAACCCAGTCCCTGTTTTTCAACAGGGACTGTTGCAAAAACCAAGCAGCTCATAAACGTTAGATTAAAAAAATTCTAAAAAGGGTTTACAAAAAAAGTTTCATTAGAGTTTTTTCATTTATATTAATTATTTTCTACCAAGAGATAATAATGCAGAGCTATGTTCTTGCTGTTTTTTGACGTAGAGAGGGGAGTTGGCTTTCTCACTGTATTTACATCCTTTAAAGAAGGACCCTTATTCAGCATGATAGTGTAACTACAGACAGAGTTTACTTTGTATAGGGGCCAGATTGGACTTGGGCCACTGTCTTTGATAAACTCCCCCTCTGAGTCAGTACAGTGGTTGCTGTGTGTGGCTCTGCGGTCACATCCTGACAACTTGTCATATTCATTAGCTTTGTCTGATAGTGTTTCTTAACATAGAATCCCGGAGCCACGGCACCACTATTTATCGGGGTTGTTTTGGCTTTCAGTGAAGAAATATTATAACCTTCACACACGGCATCTATTGCACGTCTGTCCGTCCTGGGAGAGGGATCCCTCCTCTGTTGCTCTCCCTGAGGTCTCTCCCATTTTCCCCTTTAAACTGTGGGTTTTCTCCGGAAGTATTTCCTTGTACGATGTGAGGGTCTAAGGCAGGGGTGCCCAACCTTTTTTGAACCGAGAGCTACTTTTAAAGTTGCCAGTCTGCCGAGATCTACCAGTCCAAATAGAGAGGCGTAGCCATTACTGACATTACTACCAGGTAAATACACACTTCTACTTGTATAAAACTGACCTTTGTACGATTAATACTTCATAAAATACTGCAGATCCTTTATCTTACCTCTTTCTAATCTACACACATACTAGTATTTAACTGAAGTTACACAACAGTGTTGTTGATACAGAGTTGGAGTGTATCCACACGTCACTACAGTGGGTAATGTTTTCAAGAAACATTGAACAGTGCTGCCACATATGACACAGGAAAAAAAGAAAAGACTCTGAACCCTTTCTTTGCCATTATATAAAAATAGTGTTGCTACAAAAGTATAAATGAGGCTTACTAATAAGACAACTCAGATCTGAAGCTACACAGGAATCTGCTGCCAAAGTGCAATAAAAAAGACAAAATTAATAGAATCAAACCCTTTTTTTGTAGCATTTTAGTAGATTATAAAAATAAATGCCTTTAAAATAGGATGCAAGCAACACTAGTTTCTTAACCTGAATTGATAATAGACTATAATCAATTTAAACAGAACAGATCTGAATGTTTGCATTCTTATACCATGTTGTACAATAATTATAATGAATAAGTTCAAACAAACTAAAACTTACAGCTGATTAATAACGGTATCTAACTTGAGTTTTTATTATATCAAAAACCTGTTGAAATGCTACTGTTATTTTTACTGTCCCCCAAAAAGCTCGTCGGCACGATAAGATGCTCTGGTAGCAGCCTTGCTCTTGTTGTTGGCCTGGTGAAAATGGACTGCTGTGCATTTAGCTGTCCTTTCAGGCCCCTCCCCTTTTGGAGCGTAGGGCAGAATTAGGAGGGAATTCCGTCTCGTAGCGTTTGTGCACTGTTTTGAAATGCCGCTCCTAAATTACCCTTCTTCGATAAAGCCACGCTCGCATTGCAGATGAGACAGATGGACTTTGAATTGGAATAGATACAAAAATAATGATCCTCCCACTCGGAGTGAAAATTATATATTTTGGGCTTTTTTGCTTCTGCCGTAATTGCGGTCTTGTGTGTGTGCGGACTGTCACTCCTGTTGACACGGACAACCTCAGCGAAATAGTGCCCACTGCCCACCAGCCACGCCCCGACACATGGGGTCACGCCGGCCAATCACAAAGCTTTGATGCGTTCAAGTGCATTATTCTGGCACAGGAAGATTATGTTACAGGACATTAACGATAAAACAGAATGTTGTTGTTCTATTTTTAGACACATCTCGCGATCGACTGGGAATCTCCCCGCGATCGACCGGTCGATCGTGATCGACTGGTTGGGCACCCCTGGTCTAAGGACAGAGGGTGTTGTATTGTCATACTGATATTCTGTACAAACTGTGCAGTCCACTGAGACAAATGTAACATTTGTGATATTGGGCTATATAAATGAACATTGATTGATTGATTGATTGATTGCTCTTGTTGAAAAACTCCTGACCAATGTACATAATCAGTAAAGACATGAATGCATTTTAAACAGGAATCCACAGTCGGTCTTCGGACCTGTCTTCTCTTGGACCAGTCGTTTTTTTCAGCAATCTTGATTGACTTTTCATTATGAATGGTGGTGAACTTGTTGCTTAGTCAAACATGAATTAAGTTGCAAATACGTTGGTTGAAAGTTCCATCATTTGGCATGTGCTACACGAAGAGTGATGAAGCATTTGGCTGCATCACACTCTGGTCTATTGAAGCTGCATCAATGGATACTGAAGCCAATAATTGGTTACATTATTCCTTCGTTGATTCACTTATGTTCTAGAGAACATGCTCTTCATTTAATGTCGGCTCTTCTCCCTTCAGTCTCTCTCTCACCTCCCTCCTTCCTCCCCCCTCCCCAACCTCCCTCTGTCTGCTCCGACAAAGATCCATGCAATAAAGACTCTGCGACGCCTTTTGAATACCAACTAAACTCCAGCATTGTCTGAGATCAGGGGGGGAATTCTCTGCATTTGGGGCGTTCCCCTCCTAATGCCACTGCTCTACAGCTAAGAGGCCAATTGGACCACAACCCTAAACCCCCCATGATGAAGAGCAATAACTCCCCTCCTTTATCTGTATTTTCCACTGTGTTGCCCACCATGCTCAGTGGAGGAAGAAGGGATCAATATGAGTACGGCAGCCACAGCTCAATTGTGTGTGTGTGTGTGTGTGTGTGTGTGTGTGTGTGTGTGTGTGTGTGTGTGTGTGTGTGTGTGTGTGTGTGTGTGTGTGTGTGTGTGTGTGTGTGTGTGTGTGTGTGTGTGTGTGTGTGTGTGTGTGTGTGTGTGTGTGTGTGTGTGTGTGTGTGTGTGTGTGTGTGTGTGTGTGTGTGTGTGTGTGTGTGTGTGTGTGTGTGTGTGTGTGTGTGTGTGTGTGTGTGTGTGGCCCCAGTGAGACATACTGGACATAAAGATGAATAACAGCTGACTTTGCTACCATGGTAACCCCTCCAGAGGTCCTCCCACCCTCCCTGGTTGCCCCCCCACATGTCTGCAGCACAGGGAGTGTGGGAGGAGGAAGTCAACAGTAAACATGCTGCAGTGCCCTCCCTAGCCTGGAGATGTTATTAATATAGTAACTCAGGATCAATACATTTGTACTAATCCTTTCGTATTTATGCGATGCGATACACTTTATTGTCCTCGTAAGAAAATTAGTTTTGGATTCCGTCCTGCAGTTCCACAAAAGATACAAATCATAAATAGTGCATAGTAAAAGACAACAGCATATTCACACATGACTTACAGTACATGTACACAGTTTGACATACACAGACAACATAGTGACACTCTACTGCACTAACCCCATGGCCACCCTTTAAACTATATGTCACATGTGTTTGTTGAGAAGTTCAATGGACGTAGGAGGAATGAGTGTTTGTGACGGTTTAGCATGACTTGATTACTTGAATCAAAGTGACTTTGTGACTCGTCATGCTGACAGGTGGTGACTGTGGTGCTGATTTTGGCTTTATCTTTATGAGCACTAGCATGAACATTCGCTATTCTTCCTGGGGTCCACACACTCACACACTTATTTAAGTATTTTAGCCACGTAGACACAACAAACATAAACAAAGAAAAACAGCTTAACAGTCATTAAGTTAGGAAGTGAAAACTAAAAATGGTCATCCTTTAACCAACATTCAAATAATAATTAAAAATCAACTGTTCATACACAAGTAGTTCATGTATGTCCAAAATAAAGATGTGTTTTTAAAGAGGCCCTAAAGGGCTTTTCCCTTTGCTGTCTGTCTGCATGTAAATGCTCTCCAAAGGCTAAAGATTGCAGGAATAACCATTCCCATAATATCATTGGTGAGCGTGTCACTGTCACATTTCTGACAAACGATACTAAAGCATAGAGTGTCTCTGTCCGACAGTAAACCAGCTTAGATTGCCATGCATGTCTATCACACTTATTCTGTGTGCTGTGATGCACATCCTGCCGCTTTATTTGAAACTTCTTGTAATTGTTTTTTATCCTTATAGCACCAAATAACAAAACTGTAATCAAGCAGAGACAGACCTAATGCATTTAAAACATGTCTAATGACATCTGGTGCCATAACTTTTACAATCCCTTTTGCAGCTGACACACCCCTAGCTAGATGCTAACATCAACTTGCTGACATGCAGGGTGATGCTAATAGGGTATACTACCTTTAGCCTTTTAGTTTCGCATATTAGCATGATTATGTTTAGCTAATTGGCATTATCTCAAAGTTCACAGCAAAAGGATTTAAAAACATACGTGTTGTGTTATTCACATCATCTATTGGTTTAATTGGTCAATGGCAAAAACAAAAAAATGGTCCTAGGAGAGTTTAAACTGTAAATGGACTTTTTCCCCTCATACATTTGAATTTGACAACACTTCCTGTTTTAGTGCTTGCTTGCACCTCATCTTGGCTACAGGCGCTTTTATGTGGATCGTTTGTGGAATACTGCAGCTTTAGTGTGTCTTAAATACAATAATTATAAGCTCAAATAGGTCATGTCGTATTTCTTTAGATGTCCTGAAAATCAACACTTAAACGTGTGTGTGTGTGTGTGTGTGTGTGTGTGTGTGTGTGTGTGTGTGTGTGTGTGTGTGTGTGTGTGTGTGTGTGTGTGTGTGTGTGTGTGTGTGTGTGTGTGTGTGTGTGTGTGTGTGTGTGTGTGTGTGTGTGTGTGTGTGTGTGTGTGTGTGTGTGTGTGTGTGTGTGTGTGTGTGTGTGTGTGTGTGTGTGTGTGTGTGTGTGTGTCTTCTTCCTCAGACTCTGATGTTACTGTGGCTTCCTAAAGACTGCAATATGTTTCTCTTTGTATTGCAGTTGAGAGGGAGCTGGTTCAGAAGAGGACCTTCACCCGATGGATGAACCTGCATCTGGAGAAGGTTTGTGTATATCTTTGTTGAATGGACATGGTAATCCTGTTATTACTGCACGGCTCACTGAGCGTTATTTACCAGCTGGGTGGAACCAGAGAGCTGTTTATGGCCCCCACGCTCTCTGTGTGTGCTTCACACTGCGGCTGAGGGGGGGGGCTGTACATCAACTACAGTCTCTCTGTCTCTGTGAATTATACATGTGTTTGTGTGGAGCTGCCTGTGTGCAGCATTAAACTTTCATTAGGCTGTAAAGAGTTCATCTGAGAGAATGTGGCCGTGTTACAGGTCTAGCTAGACCTAGGTGGTCCTTTACCCCCCCCTTAACCAATCAGAAGCCTGTCCATTAAAGGGTTGTACAACAAGGGTTGTATGGAGGCCCATAGAAAACACAAATGTGATTGATGCAATATCATAAACACATTATTATTATCAGAATAACAGATGTATCATTCATTAATATTCATTCATGTTCACATGTATTGAGTTGTGTAATAGCCTCTGTTATCAGGGTTAGGGTTAGAGAAATGTCAAAGGTGTGTGTTTATATAACAGAAGAGGATTTGGCCAACACTCGTCCTTGGTCATTCAAAGAAACAACAAGATGGATCCAGATGTGCAAGAATAAATGTGTTTAAATGGGGGGATTCATCAATTGTTTTTAGGCTCAACAAGAAACACTAATCTCCTATTTGTCCTGTACATTGAAATCTTCTTGAAATGAAAGTAGTGATTTTGCTGCCTGCATTAGTTTCAGTACACGCAGCAAAGCTCACGTCACTGTGTTCACTCTGTGGAAACTTGTCCCCTTCCTCACTGTCCTCTGGCTGTGAGAGTTGTTCCTCTCACAATGAGCCTCTCTTCTCAACTCTCACTCTGGCCCTGCTTCAAATGTCTGACCCACTAATGATCAACCCCCCCCACTACTGTCAGACAAGTGCTTTAGTTAGTAATTACTTGTTGTGATAACAGGAATAACTGTTGGCTCATACTGGCTGGTTTGACAGAGAAGATGAATGATCGATCACTGTTTACCTCAAATGTCACAGTGTAAACATGTGCCACCAGTATATGCTATTACTGAGTGACAGACATACATGTTCTCCTATGTTTAAATCTAAAGTGTTCCTGTCATGTATTGTGTGTTCCAAGTGTCATATTGAATGCCTTTTTGTTGGTTTTACAGTTTTTGGGTTGCATTTTTTGATAAAGTGTAAATGGAGATACAACTTTGAACAGACAGTAGCCTACACCTGTCAGATTATCAATTTGTATATTATTTATACATCCTATATTCTCACTCAGGCTGCAATCTACAATTATTTTTATTATTGGCTTATTTGCCAAAAAAAGCTAAAGATATTCAATTTACTGTTGTCACGATCACAGGTACAGATCAGAACCCAATAGCACGACTCAGATACAACCAGTTTTTAGCAATGTTCAGTTTATTCAGGTCAGGGACAGGCAGGGTCAAAACCAGGAAATCCATCAGACAGGCAACCAAAACTAGACAGGGAGCAGGCAGGAACTCGAGATCCGTAAACAGGCAGGCAGGGGTCAAAAACCGGGCAGGACAAAAATCTAGGCTAGAGCACAACACTCACTGGAGAGCTTGGCGGAAACGACAAGACAATCTGGCAAAGGACCAGTGATAGTGAGGTGGTATAAATACTGTGGAGTGATGAGGGAATGAGTAACAGGTGAGGGGAATGGCTGGGGAGACCAGGTGAGGGAAGTGAGCTGATTACAAGGGCCTGGAGGAAGGCGGGATCTGAAATGACAGGAGAGTTTAGATGAGCCACCAAACAAACAATAATAGAAGTGTCTAACTTGTGACAACTGTCATGTACGATGAATTCTAAAAATGATCAAAATAGAATCCGATTCATTTATTGATCTATTTATCACATTACTGTCTTCCTATTTTCTTTCCCTCTCAGTGTGACCCCCCCATCGAGGTCAACGACCTGTTCAGGGACATTCAGGATGGACACATCCTCATGGCCCTGCTGGAGGAGATCTCCGGCTGCAAGCTGGTCAGAATCTCTCACCTTGTTTTAACGTGTTTGACTGCACAGTGTGTAATACCCATAATGCTGTATGCAAAATCTGATAAACACATTTAAACCTTTTTTCCTACGACATAAAATACGTCAGTAAATACCCCACTGGTGAATTTGAAAACGGCTTAGCGAGGGTGATGGGCAGTGATCTTTGACTTCTGGTAAATCATAGTGGTGTTATACTATTCAGTAATATGTTGTCTCTTTCTCAATGATCCTCCAGCTTCACGGGTTCAAGAGGTCCTCACATCGCATTTTCAGACTCAACAACATCGCCAAGGTCCTGTCCTTCCTGGAGGAGAGGAATGTGAGTACCACAAGAGAAGCATGAACACATGTCTGCATCATGCCTTGTGATTGGCTGTCACTACATATTTACGTGTGTCCGCAGGTGAAGCTGGTCAGTATCGACGCAGCGGATGTTGCTGATGGAAACTCCTCCATCATCTTGGGACTCATCTGGAACATCATCCTCTTCTTCCAGGTAATCTCATTTTCTAAACCTTGTCCTCCTCTTCTCTGTCCTCTGAGTTTCCATTTCCCCTACTTTCCCTTGCCTCTCTTTTTAGAATTAGGTCAACAGGAAGAAGAATCAAGTGTCTACTTCACAGCCTTTGCACTTTCCATTCACAATAGCCCTTCAAAGTGCAGCTCTGTGGGTAGTTTATGTAATCACTCTGCACTTCAATGCCTTGGACCGGCACCATGAGGAAAAAATGACCTCAAACAGACTGTCAGTTCATTCTGGAGCAGAGCAACTGTATGAGGCTCCATACACTCCTGAGCGGGATGTATGGCAATAACGTACAAGATACACTGATCTCTTCAATGAATTACAGAGGTAAATAAACAGCATTTCTCCAGTCATTGAGAGCCCTAAATCACTTTCACATATACAAGTCAGGATTCACACGCTTTCATACAGAGGCTACCATAGGCTACATACAGTAACATTCTACAGGTAACTTGACATTCCACATTTGTAATTCAACGTTATAAAATCTGTGAGAATTCTAGTTTTGTAACCTAACATTCTACAATTGTATTTAAGGGTGCATTCATACCTAATAGTCCACTTCTCTGGTGCACACCAGACCACAGTTTGTTACATTGTTTCATTTCTCAGAAGGTTCCGTTTGCGTTCACACAGCAAAACTCAAACGGACTATAAACTTTAAACACAAGTCATGTGCACGGAAATGCTGTTCAACCATTGGTCAGACATTAAAGAGCCTGTGACACGAATTTCCCCCATCATCCAAACCCATCAATTTGAGTAAATATTGTCCCCAATATTGAACAATAGTTTGATTAATATTGATTAGAGTGAACTAAATAAATAAAAGAAAAATAGATATGTTATCTATCAAAACCCAGTTAGATTAACATTCATTGGATTGCATACTTTGTTTGTTTGTGTGGATATGTAGCAAATTAACATTTTAAATAGCATTTAAAGAGCCTGTGACACGAGTTTCCCCCATCATCCAAACCCATCAATTTGAGTAAATATTGTCCCCTTGAAAACCGTTACTAAACTGATTTTGGATATTTGTACTTTGATATCCATTAATCTGCCCTTCAATGTTGACCATTTCCTGGATCTGCTCGGGGATTCTTCAAGTCCCGCCAAATGATGTGTGACGTCATTGCGGGCACAGCGCTCCAGCTGCACCGTTCAGGATCCCAGCATCTGCATGTAAACGCACGATGGCGCACACAGCAGCAAGCTCAGACAGCGATGACAGTTTAATTTTGAACGTGTCTGAGAGCTCATATGAGGCTGAAGGATCGCTTTATGTTGTATCTGTTAGAAGTTTAGGAATTAGGTGCGTCAATATGGGAGATCATACGGTCATGTAGCCAGTGGTGGACTGGGACTAAAGATCATCCCGGGACTCTCGACCGGCCCACTTCGGTACCGCTAGTAAATTGTCAACGGGGGGAGTGGGGGATGTCAGGGGCGGCGGGCGCTGTAGATAGTAAATGTAAATATGTAAATATTTGTGTCACTGCATCCTGGTAAAATACAAATATAATGCAATGTCTGTGTCTTTGACATTAGCGCTGCCAGCCACCTGTGCCCTGTACTACGAAGCCAGTTCAACAGACCCTGGATATGTTTGAGTAACAAACAAACTAACAACAAACTAACAAACGAGATCTCGCTAAGCGGTCCTACGACGCTGGTTATCAACTCGGTAAATCAAGCCAGGGTTTCTCTCTCCAGCTGAGAGCGCGTTCACGTCTAAGACACGAGTGGATCTGACTTTAATTACATTTGACTCGAGTGTTTCGTCAACATAATGTGTTGCTTAAAATAATACTTCTGCATACAGTATGTGACACTGTGAGTGTTGCACGGCCAGATACGGCTGGAGAAGCTGACTCAGATAAGGAAATATATGATATATTATATGATCGATGATCTGATTGATGATGTAATATGAATGATAAGTGCGACACGTCGGCATCTTCTCTGCATACGGCAGTTTAAACTGTATTTCCTTTATCCTGTAATATGACTTGAGAGATTTAAACTCCGCACACTGAGTTGATCTCTTTTCTATAGACGCCGGAGGCGGGCAGCGTCAGGTAAAAAAAGTTATTTAGCCTTCCCAAACCTGAGCCTCACGCGCCGCCTATGGGGGATGTGCTAGTGACTTATTCGACCGGCCCACTTCGGTACCGGCCCATCGGGATTCGTCCCGATGGCCAGTCCGCCACTGCACCCATTCCACGTAAACTGTCAACGGGGGAGCCTCGCTGCGGGGAAACGGTGGACCTAGTGTCCCGATCGGAGTGGGAATAATAATAATAATAATCCGTGCATTTTATCCATTAATTTCCCCAACATTGTGGTGAAAAAACCACACGTTTAATCCATGTTGGTGTACTACAACTACAAAAAGCATCGGTTTGTTTTCTCATCAGGAAATGCAGACCGGCACAAACAAACGATTTTTAATCATCATCCTCACGATCATTTAATGTATCATATGTTCGCCGAATTGACATGAAAGCACTAATACATGTAGTTTCATCCACTTGAGTTTACAACTACAAAAATAATCGATTTGTTTTTATATCACATCCTACGGGAGGAAATTCAGCAGCTCTCACTACCGATTTGTAATCCTAATGTAATCATCATCTTCACCACGATCATTTATGTTTATGTTCGCCGAATTGACATGAAAGCACTGACAAATATGAATATACTGTAGTCAACTTCATTACAACGTTATTAACGTGCCTAAACTCAGTAATTCACCATTTCTACGCATGACAACACACTTTGTCCGTGTTTGGCTCTCTCGCCACACAGTGAAGCGTTCCCGCATTGACGTCACTTCCGGCTTCCCCCAAAACTTCAAAATGAGTCGAAGGAATTTCCCCGCGATGTTCGAAATTATTGATATTTAACGGAACGGTATCGCTTTTTCTTTTTTAAACTGACGGTTCGAGATTACTAGTAGCCCAATATTTCATTGCACGGCAGGTTGTTCTCATGCTGCTGTTAATCTGGAGATCAACAAACTCTAGCGGTCCGCGCATATGATTATATAATCAGTCAACGTCCGTTAAAAAACATTATAACACATGCGAGACGTTCTGCAGTAAGGAGGGCGTTTCACCGACGACAGGTGTTCTTACTTTTATGTAGTTGACGGAGCATTTTTACATTACACGACACTGTTCAACACTTCATTCTGCTTCACTCTTTAACTAACAACCGCGGATGTCTTGAAAGAGTCTTTCGCTAAAGATTTTTGAAGACATCCGCGTTATTGTGACACGTAAATACTACACTTCCTATGTTTTGGTGCGGACTGCGTTCACACCAGCAATTAACCGCTCCAGAGTTAGCAAGCAAGCGTTCCGAGACCTCCTATTTTAGCGGACTAGAGTCCGGTTGTTTAGTTCACTTCAGAGGTCTCGGATTGTGTTCACACCGACCCAAATGAACCGCACCAAGCGACTAAATGCACCAGGGTTCGATTCAACCGGACTATACAAGGCAGGTATGAACGCACCCTAAGGGGTTTCTGGTGAAAACCAATAATCGTCACCATACTAAAAAAAGTCTGCTGTGTCATGTATTGCACGTCAAACAACAAAAAGATCCAAAGTTTTACTTCGAACAAAGGACGATAAAAGAAAAATATCTGTGCCTCCATAGAGAGGACGGAGATGTACGTCTGTGGGAGGAAACACTTCCTCACAGCTAAATGATGGTGCTAAGAAGCTTAACATCACTCATCAAAGAAGATATTTGTGATGTTAAAAGTCGAAGTAGTGACTGTAGTCGTGGCATTAGAGTGTAAAATACTGACAAGCCAAGGAAGTTTCAGTTTTAGCTGCTGCCTGCCACTCGTCCACCATTAGACTGAGGGGACATCGATCCTCTATAGCTTCTAATTTAACTATCAACCAGGGGCGGACTGGCCATCGGGATTCGTCCCGATGGCCAGTACTGAAGTGGGCCGGTCGGACGATGTGGGCCGGCCGGTAACCGGCAGGGCTCGACATTAAATGGCCCGCTGGCCCGGAAGCACTATATTTAGACACCCCGGGCCAGCATAACGTACTTTCCACTTGCCCGCTCGGGCCACTAAAATATTGCTTTAATTGACTAGCAATTTAGTTAAATTGTTCGTTTATCAACGTGTGTGGGGTACAACATAGTGTTCCGTGAGTCGGTTGTGGTTGTTGGGTAAAAAGCAAACAGCTGTTTGCTGCGGAGCGCAGCGCGAGCAGGCTCCCGTGAGCAGGCTCCCGTGAGCGCAGCGCGAGCAGGCTCCCGTGAGCGCAGCGCGAGCAGGCTCCCGTGAGCGGGAGCGCGCTCCTTCACTACAGACTTTCGCGCCACCTAACCATTCGCCAAAATGTTTTTAATACCAGCGGTAACCGGCCAAGCGCCGGGCACAAAACAATCTTCAAATAAAAGAAAGTCACCGGAGGAGTTAAAGGAGAGTGACAGGGAGCATGAGAAGAAGAGGGAGAGAAAGTTTCAGCCAGCTTGATCGATGGAGTTGGCTTCTAGTGGTGATGTGACGCATCCTAAAACCCTTTTATAATCTATCGATTAGATTTATGATTCTAAAATTCTAAAAGTAGAGTAGACATGTGGATATTATCCGGCTGAACAAAACGTGCATTTATCCAGCAGCTTACTTCCTGGTTTTAGGATGCGTCACTGGCTGCACCTCTCAATATGATGCCAATATAAACAAGGTCTTCTGTCGGCTCTGTACATTAATGCCGACCTATGCTGACAAGTAAGTGAAGAGTAGACAATATAAAAGTATTCGCTATAGGGAAATGTCCCAGCAGTTTAGGATAATGAAGGTTCTAATCTAATCTATTACATAGCCATTACTCCTAATGACAGGAAGGCAGAAAGCGCATTATACAAATAATAATACTCATAATAAGACAAACATCTTCAACAAATGTAATGCAATGAATAAGCTTCATTGTCACAGAAGCACACATAACGTCATATCTAATATTTAAACAAATCATTTCCTTGTCCCTAAAGCATTGACTGAGCTATTTTTCGTCCTCAAATGCAGGCATTAAGTTACATGTTCACGTTCTGCTGCCACAATAAGTCGGTTTCTCCAGTGTAATGATAATAAAATGCTAAGTAAGTATTGGTAATAATATTAATAAAAACTACAACGTTTGGGTTCGTTCGTTTAATATGATGAACGTTAACCAGTAAGCTTCAACAATCAACTCCAGCTCAACAAACCATATTGCAATATCTACGTCAACGTTATTTCTGGAACCAACTGGAAATGTGAGATTCATATTTTTCAGATACACAGATCTTATAGTGAGGTTAATCTATGGGTTAATCTCATACTCTGCTCTTCAACACTAATGTGACGCTAGCTGTCTGCATCGTCGAGCATAGCTATTTTAAATTAACAATAACAATGCATACAGTTACCTAACTAGCAAACTAACTAATGTACAAGCATGACCTTATTTTACCAACCTCACGAGAAGCCTTATGTTTTACAGTATAATCCTTCTTAATGTTTTACACTTCTCTATTATGTTTTAACTTGTATGCTACGGATAGCATCGTTAGCACAGATGTAGCTTCGTCTCGCTTGTTAGCTGAATAAAAAGACAAGTAAGAAATAAAGTGCTTGAATTTCACTTACCGAATAAACTGCATTCATGGACGGTCTGCTTGAACCGCAGAGCCATAAGATAAGTGCGATATTTCAATGAAGAATACTCCACCAGGCATCAACACAAAAAACACGTCCGAGTAGCAGCCTGGAGCTAATGAAGCTAACGGGGCTAGCAAAGAGACCACTAGCAGATGACTTCCGTTACAGTAAGAATCCCCTCACACACACATAGGTGAAACATATGCACATTCCCTACTGAGAACCTTTCAGTAAAATGTTTTTCAGGAGTGTGTGTGTGAGATTAATTTTCAGTATTGTGTGTGTGAGGTGTTCAGTAGTGAATGTGAGAGGATTTCAGTAGTGTGTGTGTGAGGCTTAATTTTCAGTAGTGTGTGTGTGAGGTGTTCAGTAGTGAATGTGAGAGGATTTCAGTAGTGTGTGTGCAAGGCCAGATGTTTTCAGTAGTGTGTGTGTGAGGTGTTCAGTAGTGAATGTGAGAGGATTTCAGTAGTGTGTGTGCAAGGCCAGATGTTTTCAGTAGTGTGTGTGTGAGGCTTAATTTTCAGTAGTGTGTGTGAGGTGTTCAGTAGTGAATGTGAGAGGATTTCAATAGTGTGTGTGTGAGGCTTAATTTTCAGTAGTGTGTGTGTGAGGTGTTCAGTAGTGAATGTGAGAGTATTTCAGTAGTGTGTGTGCAAGGCCAGATGTTTTCAGTAGTGTGTGTGTGAGGTGAGTTTGAATTTTGGCCTACACGGCCCCTCATACCGGTGCACCCCTCGGACGTCCCCAAAACTGCGGTAATTACGCCGTTTGGGCTTTTCGAGTTCCTGCGTATGCCGTTTGGACTTAAGAACGCAGCTCAGTCCTTTCAGCGGCTGATGGATTCAGCGCTCAGAGACATGCCATTCATCTTCGTCTATTTAGAAGACATCCTGGTCGCCAGCTCCTCCTCCGAAGAGCACCAGGCACATCTCCGGGTCCTTTTCGCGAGGCTCAACCAACACGGCCTGATTATCAACCCGGCGAAGTGTCAGTTCGGGTTTTCCTCCATCCATTTCCTCGGGCACCTCATCAGCAAGGATGGGGCCGCCCCCCGCCCGTCGAAAGTGGAGGCCGTGTCTGCCTTTCCACGACCGCCTACAGCTCGGGCGCTCCGAGAGTTCCTCGGGATGGTGACGTTTTATCACCGGATCATCCGCCGGGCGGCCCACACCATGCGCCCGCTGTACGAGGCCCTCAGGGACAAGTCTCCCGGCCAGGCCATAGACTGGACGGCTGAAAGGGAGGTCGCTTTCAACGCCACCAAAGCCGCCCTGAGCGAAGCCGCCATGTTGGCTCACCCGTCACCACAGGGCCCCCATCGCTATCACCACCGACGCATCTGACTACGCAGTGGGCGCGGTGCATGAACAATGGGTCGACGGCACCTGGCAACCGCTCGCCTTTTTCAGTCGCCAGTTGACTCCCAGGGAGCGCAAGTACAGCACTTTCGACAGAGAACTCCTTGGTCTCTATTTGGCGGTTCGCCACTTCCTGCTGGAAGGCCGGGAGTTTGCGGCGTTCGTGGATCACAAGCCACTGACCTCCTGCATGTCCAAGGTGGCCGAGCCGTGGTCCGCCCGACAGCAACGCCAGCTTTCGTACATCTCCGAGTACACCACGGACATACGACACATCGCTGGCAAGGCTAACGTGGTCGCGGACTGCCTCTCCAGAGCGGTCATCGGAGCTGTGCAGCTGGGCCTCGATTACCTCCGCATGGGCGCTGACCAGGCCTCTGACCACGGGGTCCAGACCCTCAAGGCCTCGGTCACGGGATTACACCTGGAGGAGGTCACGGTCGGTGACTCTGGCGCAAAGCTGTGGTGTGACGTCTCCACGGGCCAGCCTCGACCGCTGGTCCCTGCGGACTGGCGTCGACCCGTTTTTGAGGTGGTTCACAATCTTTCCCACCCCGGTAGGAAGCCGTCCGTGAAGTTGTTGTCGCAGAAGTTCGTGTGGCAGGGGCTTAAGAAGGAAGTGAGGTCCTGGGTCGACTCGTGCGTGGCCTGTCAACGGGCCAAAGTCCACCGCCATACTAGGGCCCCTTTTGAACTTTTTGCGGTTCCTGAGAGGAGGTTTGACCATGTCAATGTCGACCTCGTAGGTCCGCTTCCCCCCTCTCACGGTTTCAGCTACCTGTTTACGATGGTGGACAGGACGACCCGCTGGCCCGAGGCCGTTCCCCTCGCCTCGACATCAGCTTCCGACGTCGCCCGCGCTTTCATCGGCACGTGGGTGGCGCGCTTCGGGACCCCGTCTGACCTCTCCTCTGACCGCGGTTCTCAGTTCACCTCGGAGCTGTGGAACGCTGTTGCTGTGGGTTTGGGGGTCAAGCTGCACCGCACCACCGCATATCACCCCCAGGCTAACAGATTGTGTGAGCGGTTTCACCGGTCCATGAAGGCGTCACTGCGGGGTCGGGTGGTACTTCCTCCCAGGCACGAGGATTTGACTATGGGTGAATACTGGGGGGGCTTGTGTGGTGATTGACATTATTCACCCACGGATCTATGGGTTGGGGTATTGTTCCGCACGGACATTTGAGTGAGCCGGACTTCCTGTTTCCGCCGTTCTTCGCTTCCCGGGCATGAAGTTGTTTACATGTGTGTTCAGATGCTAAATAAAAGTATAGCTTGTAACTTTGATACCCCGCCTCCGACTCCCGTCTCTCGGCACTACATTAGTGCATAAATTACTATTGCAACAAATGTGTTCATTTTCTTCATTATTAGTCGATTTTTTTTTTGGACGAATGCTCCGGGCCAGTGGTTACAATGGTGGGGCCAGTGATAATACAAGTCCATTTACCCTTAATGTCTACCTCTGCGGTAAGTCACTAGCACCCCCCCCTAGCTTTAATTTGCAGTGCTTTCAATAGCTCAGAAGTTTCCCTCAAATCTCTCTTCACAGTTCTGTTTAATTTCCTCCGACGGTTTAATCTAATTTAAATCACACATTTAACACCACTTAGTTCAATAAAAAGTAACTGAAGAAGAAAAATAAGCTCTCTATGCTAATTAGTTAGCAAGATAAATATTGTTGCAAACAGTTTATGAGCTACTATATCTTCCTTTAACTTTTGATCTCTCCATCCCCTTAAAGATTAGTATTGTCAAAATGCCTTCTTAAGGCGATTTAAATGGTTGCCGTTGTGGTGTGTCCAGGCCTGAAGACAGATAAATATCATCCAATAACTCTTTTACAGCTACATGATCACTTAGAATTAGAAAAGAAACCTTGGATTTTGCTACCAATTTCAAAATGTTTCAGGTCCTCCCTCTTGTCTTTACTACCTGCTGCACATCAACTGAGACAAATCATTGTTTTGTGTACTATCTTAATTTGTATTAGCTAGCCAAGTTATTGCTTTCTAACTGCTGTAATATATGTACTACATACATCATAAAATATTGTTAACTGTTGATAAAACTTCTTACATATTCAATTATATATATATTTTACAGGAGCTACATATGTTGTTGGTATTCAATTGATGCTTACATATAATTGGATGGCAATGCCAGGCCAACACTGTTTGAATATAAACTTTGACCCATGCCTTCACTGTGGTCGTGAGTGGTCATATGACTTTAATTTGGCTGATTGCACTAACATAACTATGTTCCTGTATCTCATGTTTTTCTTTATCAATGTTCAAGTCTGACATCAACACGTTATTCTCTCAGGCTTTAGAAAGCTACCTGAGACATTACATGACTGTTTTCCCAGGCTGAGTAAACTGATACAACTAACACCAGAATCAGCACGGAACAGACCCTCTGTGTTTTAAGAGCTTAGATTCCTGTGTAACTCTGTTGGTTATCTGTCCAAAGGATTACATGTGCCATGCATGGTAACTGTAATAAATCCAGATTCTACTTCAAACCTAAGATTGTTTTTGTCAGTCTTGGCTAATCCCACCCTTTCAGTAGACAATTGTGTAAAACACAGTGTCAGCATGAAACACTTGAGTATCCAATTCAGCCAAATCTCTGCAGCAGATTATTAACCCAACAGCTGAATTGACTGATAAAAGAGCTGACTAATGGGAATATACTCCAACTCTGTCTCCTCCCAGATTAAGGAGCTCACGGGGAACATCAGGAGCCAGTTCCCCTCCTCCTCCAGCCTGTCGTCCATCCCCACCAGCTCTGACTCCGACACGTCCTGCAGCGCTCCGTCAGGCGAGAGGCAGGCGGCGGCGGCGGCCATGCGCGAACACAGCAAGGCCATCAAAACACTGCTGCAGTGGGTCCAGAAGCGAACACGCAAGTGAGTGTGGCCTTCCATTTAAAAAAAAGAAATGTGTGAAATAAATCTTTGAAGTGTGGAAGAAATATAACAATGTTTACAAAATGGTGTAAGAATGAGTCTTAAACATGGAGATAAGTTAAGATTTTCAACACTCAAAGTCATTGATTTTTTTGAACATGTTTTTGGTTAGATGCCTTAAATAAGGTCTGTGGTTAACACAAGCTTTAGAGATGTTTACGTTTTGACCTGCGACATAACATACGTCAGTAAATAATTCTCTGGTGAATGTAGCTTCTACACTACAGTATGTCATAAAAGCGGTGGTTGCTAACAAGTGACTAAATGAGACTACTGAATGTCATCATGCCGAACATTAGCCTCCTTTAGCTTAGCAGTGGTGGTGCGCATCCAAGTGGCCGTGATGTAGTTATTTTATAGCCTAACGTTAGCTTTTTACTCCTAGCGTTAGCCTTTACGTTTCAACAATTATAAAAGTGATGATGATCTGTGAAGATTATCCAGGCCCGCCCCTCCCTACACGCAGATCGCGCAGACTGCGTGGGGCCTCATCTTGCGAAGGGAGCCTCATCTGATGCGCCAATACGCCACACTTCAGCTTATGAGCAAATGCTGCGCAATTAAGCGCGCCACATGTTCACAGTTTCGCCGCTGCAAGGCTCCGGCGCAGTTCACGCGCGTGCTCCACTAGCACCCCCCCCCCCCATCCATTGTTATACATTGTATAACAATTAGAGATGCACGATAATTATCGGCCCGATAATTATCGGTCCGATATTAGGAATTATGACGTCATCCCGATAAACCCGATACCAGTATTAATAGCCCCGATAATATACAATATATTTTTTGGGTAAAAAAATAAAATAAAAATACTGCGGTGTGGGTGGATTGGGATGAGGGGCGCTTGTTTTTCACTCGGCTCCTCCCGTTTTGCCAGTACTGTGGTATTAGTGGTTTAGGAAGAGGGGAGTTCTTCACAAATCCAGCGCTCCCTAACTCATGCCTGGCTGTGACGTAAATGGTGTGCGGCCGTGAAGCCAGGACAGTAAACAAACATGTCGTCGGTGGTATGGGCGTTGGAGCTATGTGCAACTCAAGGCATATGCTCGAACCGGAGCTGCCTGGACGCTGCAATCATGTTGCGGACTATCCGTGCTGAGTGTGCTGACTTTTCGTACAATGTCCCACTGTCTGGCTTCCTACATAAAGTCAAGTGCTCGGCGCAGTTGTGGCGAAATGTCGCTCCTCTGTTTTCATTTAAACAGCTCCTTATATCCGTTAGCGCAGCTAGCTAGCACCAGATGCTAACAACAACAATGCACGTAAGGTCTCTTTCTCGCTCGCTCGGGCCACACGTACACACACCCTCCCGGTCCTCCAGATGGCCAGTCGGTGCCTGCCGGTGAGCGTGGAAGTGTGGTCTGCCACAAGCGGGCGGCAGGAGCGGGGCTGTCAGCATCAGCTTGTAGATGGTATTTTAAACTCGATGCGCTCTGAAACTAAGGGGCGGCCAAGGAAAAAAAATACACATGCGTTAATCGCGTTAAAATAATTAGTGGCGTAAAAAAAATGTTGTTATCGGTCTTGAGAAGCAGGAAGTTATCGGTATCGGTTTCAAAAAACCAATATCGTGCATCCCTAATAACAATGGATTTCAAGTAGGAGGGGCATCAATGATTGACTTGCTCCATTAGTGTGTTATTTCATTGTCTCTCTCATAGTTAGTTTTGTTGTCTCTCTGGACTGACCCTGTCCTCTGAATGTGTGTGTTTTGTCTCAGGTACGGTGTGGCTGTGCATGACTTTGGGAAGAGCTGGACAAGTGGTCTGGCCTTCCTGGCTGTCATTAAGTCCATTGACCCCAGCCTGGTGGACATGAGGAAGGCCCATCTGAGGACCACCAAGGAGAATCTGGAGGACAGCTTCAGGATAGCCCACTACAGCCTGGGTATCCACCGCCTTCTGGAACCTGAGGGTAACAAAGAAAAACCTACCCCTGCATGAAAATAATGTTCAATGCACAAAAGTGTAGGTTTTCTCACGCCAGGGTAACCTGTTCAACAATGCTGTAGGCTAGACCTCTTCAACAGGTTTCTCACAATAACATAATTAGCCTAAAGCGGAAACAGACAACTTTTCCCCCTCTCCCGAGCGTTTCAAAATGTGCTATTGTTGGCACAGCTGTCTCAAAGAGAACTAGATCATTCTCAGTTTTTCTCAGAGCTTAGCAAAAACCAGCAACTCAGGACAGACTGCATAATGTTTCCCACGTTTAGTTCCTAGGTAACTGGGGATAGCTACAAAAAAACATAAGCACAACGGTTGACGCTCTTACATTTTACACGAAGATTGTACCTAGTGAAAGCAAGGCTTATAGGGAACCAATTGTATACTGTCAATATGCCATAGCCATTATATTTCTCAATCAATGTTTTATCATAAGATCAGTCTATCCCTGTAAAGGCCCTGACACACCAAGCAGTCACCAGAGGACTCGCCGACGTCGGCTGTTGCATCGCGGTGTTCTCCTGCGTCTTGGCCATGTGTCGCACGGGAACACACCGCAAAGACTTCAGTGCGTGAGTGGCAATAACTCTCCTTACCAGCAGGCGGCGGTAGTGTGTATTCGTCATTAAAAATAGGCAACAACCGGAAGACAGAGAAGAAGAACAGACTGCGTGATATAAACAACAACAAATAGCGTGTGCAAACTGCAGCCTAGTTATGATCCACTGCTGTCTGCCCGTCTTTGGTGCTCCACAACTACCCGAAGGGGCAAGTCTCCTGTACCGGTTGTACTGGGTTCGCAGATAATCCCACTTCTTCCTCAGCTCTTTCTCTGAAGCACACAAATAAACGATGTAAGCATTGTGGCTAGTTAGCATGTCCAATTCATATCTATATGCAGTGCCAAACTGCACAGCTAGCAACAAGATAACAACAAAACACAAGGTTGAAATAACAAATTACATTTCACGTTAACGTCACTGTACGCTGACAAACAATAAAAAGCCAACAATATCTGCTAAAGAGCTCAATTGATGAAAAAGATAATCTTACCCGAGAAACCAAGTTGCGTTTCAATCTCTCGCCAGAGTCCGGTTTTCACTACTCGGTTCGAGTACCTTTTCTCTGTGATGTCGTACAGAGCTGGCCTCTCCTGGATCAATGTGATGAGCAGGTCTTCGTTTGCTTCATTCCAGATCGCCATGATGAGATGAAAATGAATATCAGTCTGTGTGTGCCTTCTTAAATCGTTTGTTTACGTCCCTCACTTCCGTTTCGCTTCTCATGCACTGATTCGCTAGCTGAACAGCCAATCAGAGTGATTGTTTGGTCCGACTGCCAGACCCGATGCATGGCCGATTCAACATGTTGAATCGGCCATGCATCGGCACAGGCAGTCCAAATAAGGCGTGTCACGGTCGACGGTGCGGGACACACCAAATTGAGTTTGGGCGACAGGACACGCTTCGTCTCCCGACTTACGAAAACAGCCGAAATCGGCCTGGTGTGTCAGGGCCTTAAGTCATGACTAGGAGGGAACCTCATTTACATGGGAGTCTATTTTTGAAATGCCAACGTGGTAATGTTCTTTGTCTGCCCATGCCCAGATTTGACTATCAATGCACCAGATGAACAATCCATCATGACATATGTGTCTCAGTTCCTGAAGCACTTCCCTGGCATAGAGGAGGTAGGAATCCCTTTTTCTTTTTTAATAATATGTCTGACAAAACATTAGTGTCTCAATGAGAGCACAGATAAATTCTGCCAACTTGTTTGTTTCCATCTCAGCCGGAGGAGCGCTGCCAGCCGATCGAACGAAGTGTCTCCATGGGCCGACTCAACTTCCGTGACAGTGACACCAACCTCATAAGGAATAGTGCGTACCGAAGCAGAGTGAAGGAGAGGTCCTACATGTTCCAGAAGGTCTCTGCCCAAGCCCCACCCAAAATCTTAATTTCCTCTGTGTCAGAGGACAGGAGCGCCATGTCACCCCCCTTCAGACCGCCTACAGCTCGCTCGTGGTCGGTTGAAGACATCTTAGCAGATTCCCCCCACAAGGAAGACATCTCAAGCAGTATGGTTGAAGATCCCAATGAATCCACCAGTGAGGTCAACACAACTTGTAACTCCCCACAACCGCCTTACAGTCACTCTCCCACAGGCTCATCGGTGCCCGAGTCCATAAACACAGAGTCAGTTATTGGCGACTCTGCAATCGGCTCGCCAGACTCCTGGATGGAGAGCGAGTTCGGGGTGATGCCAGAGAAGTTTTGTGAAAGCCAAAGCGAGAGTTCTTTGTGTGACAGTGGAACGGCCTGGGATGTGTACCGTGCCACCCCTGTGGAGATCACTAATCTAGATGAAGGATTTGTCCCTTCCATGGAGGATAGAGCATCTGATGAGCAGTCGAATACTGAGTCCTACATCGATGAAGGGATTTATTCACTGAGCTCGTTGGAGAGCACCAATGAGAGAATACATGGGCATTCTGAGAAAAAGCAGGATGAAGTTGTCAAAGTGAAAGAGGAAAACCTTGAGAATAACAACCAGGAAATGGTACTAGAACAGGAACCTGATCAAAGCATGGATGATATTACGAAAGAAGTAGACTCTATGGACATGGATACAAGTGAGAGCAGAGAGCAAGAACCTTCTTTTGGACTGTGTGAGGCAGAAGAACGGATTCATTCTGGTGTTGAACATCTCCTAAAAACTGATCAATCTAATCAGTCACAACTCAAGCAAACCCTTGTTGAAGAGAGCGCTCATGGAGACCCGGAATACTTCGAGAAAGCTGTGGACGTTAATGGGAATGCCAATGACCATGAAGAACAAATCAAGGATGCAACTGCAAGTCAGAATGAGAGAAATAACTCTGAGGAGATTGAAGGGGAAACTGAATGTCAGAAAAAAGATAGTCCACAGGAGACAAGAGGAGAGCCAACCGAGGAGGCTGTTGTTTATAAGGAAAGGGGTGTAGGAAAACAAGAAGAAAGTGAAGGAGTTCTAAGAGAGTACCCAGGTCCTCAAGAAAGCTTAAGCTCAGAGACTTTAGCAAACACACATCCATCCAACACAGATGGAGTTTCAAAAACAAGTCTTGAGCCAAGCAGAGGCAGAGATCGTGTTGGGGAAGATGAGGAACATCAAGCAGAGGGAACTGACGGAGAGGTCAACAGCCCTGAATTGGATTGTGATTCCAATGACAATGTTGACAAAGACTCTGTTGAAAGTCCTTCCTGTCTGGTATCAGAACATGTTGAACCAACAGAATCAGAACAAAAAAGGGTCATAGAAAGTTTGGATGAACATGACATCAGCGGATCATCAAATTCAGTCATATGTGACAATCAAACAGCCACAACACAGCAAAACACTTTAGATACGGGTAGTGTTTCCACAAACATGGACCTATTTTATACAGACTTTGATAGAAATTCCCATGCAGAGGATTTAATCGGTGACTCTATCGAACCCATGGATCTGTTCTACCCAGACAAAGAGGAGCCCATGTTTACAGAGCTGCCGGATGTTGAAATGCAGAGTTGGCCTTCTGTGTTGAGTGTATCTGCTCTCCAGCCAGCCCCAGCTTCAGAGACTGATCCTGACCAGCTACTGGACCTGCTGGGTGAAGACTACAGGGAGAGAATGGATTCCATACTAGAGGATGATGAGGTAAATTCAGTCGTACAATCAGACTATTCCAGTCTCAAATGAGCTTGCACTTTTAAACAATTAAGTATCAAGTATTTCAGTTTATTTTCAGTGGAGTTTTTGTCCATTTCCATGTTTTAATGGTTGGCAATGTTGGTAGGTCACTCGACAGATATACGGATATTCTTGGTCCTCAGAAAAAAAAGTGTTGTACCACCATCAAGTTGACATGTTTTGTTTTAATTGAATCTCTCAACAACTTTTGGTTGATTGCCATTCATTTGGTACAAAATGATGTTCCCTTGTGGGTGAATTAAAATCACTTTGTCAATCCCCTACTCAGCATTTACATTTTTAGATAGATGTTTCCCTTAGCCATTCTATCTGATAGGGAGGATACACTTATTAAAGATGAACACATTACTTACATTTATTTAAAGTATTGAAATAACCCTTTCGCACCACCTGAAGGACTGTGTGTAACAATTACATAAACTCTCTTAAAACATATATGGAATAAGAAGTGCTATCATTTTTGTAATGTTTTATATTCACCATTATTTTTCATTCGAGGGTTGAAGCGTCTCAACCTTTACTAGTATTTGGCAGCACAGTTCAAAGGATACTGCTTTTTGGAAGGAAATTGTTTCCAAACATTTTATCAAAATTGTATAAAAAGAACATTTGCAAAATACTGAAAATGCATATTCCGAGTTCTTAAAGCAAATGAGGACCTATTCAAAAAGCTTATGTTACAATAACATCTTAAACTTCAAATGGATAGGATTAATATTGACATAAAAGAGAGTAGACTTCCTGTTAGCTTTGCTGTTTCTTTTCCAGTGTAAAAGAAGCGCTCCCTTATAAAAACACAAGCCCCAGTCTGCCTGTATGTGTGTGTCTAATGGTCCAACTGCTCAAACAGGAACATGAAGCAATGTGAACATTCACACCTCCACAATATCTCACTCATGACCAGATGACCTGCTGAAAACTTGAGGCCAGTCACTGATGTTCCCATGCTAACGCTCATAGCTTTGGACAGCTTGTCCTTGAAAGCATTTTGGGTGTTACAAACAGTTGTCTACATGAACATTCACAACAACAGTGTGAAGAGAGAGAAGTTGAAATCTCTCCTACTTTCATGCCTCACAAATCATGACCATGGGGGTTGTCTGGGTTTAGAGGATCGGAAATTCAGACGTTTACAGTACTGAGGCCTAAATGGTTGTTAGTAATGCAATGTTAGTACTATGCATTTGCTATTGTTGGAGCTTTATTCGCAGTAGGTCTACTACTTAGTTCTTACAGTGATGCAAGAGGAAATATTAAGGGGCCATCAGAAGCACAGGAGTTCATCATCTGGGCAGCATGAATGTGATCATGTCAATCTCTAGAGTGGTGCAGTGATCACGTATTTGTGGTGGCTAAACTAGAAGCTAGCATCACAAGGGCTCCCTCGACAAAAAGCAATAGGATTGTGTCATTGGATTTCTAAATGTTGCAGAAAGAAAGATCGCTGACAAACATACGTTTGGACCAGTGCCTTTTACTCGTTAGTAACTGCTAAGCTAAAGACGGCAAACATTCAGCTAAAAATACTGACTTCATTTTTGTCATAGAACAAAACGTGAAAATCTCTTAATCTTGTGTTAACCAAGACCTTATTTCAGGCATCTAACCTAAAAAAAAGTAGAGTTTAAAACAAGGGCAGTAGAAATATTAAAATGCAGTCATTTCGATTGGACATTTTCAACTGAAGGTGGCCCTACTATAGGCTCATAGTGGCCAAAATGGAAAGGGTTTATCATGTACAGAGTGAAAAGATGCAATCTGCAGAATAAAATAATTTCATGAACCTCAACACCTGAAGATGGTGCTAGAGAAATGGTCCCCTAAAGTATTAGGGATCATAATCTGGGGAGCATGAATATCCACATAAGAAGTCATCAGCACTCTGAAATGAAGTCATCAGCACTCTGAAATGAAGCAAAATGAAATTGTTGAAAGGTCTTCCCCTTCTGTAAGCTGAAAGATTCCTCTCTCTGTATTTCTCTCGTATTAGGAGACCAACCAGGAGGCTGAGAAAGAATCTGAATCCCAGGAAGCCTGTTCGTTGCCCGGGGAGCCAATGGGAGGACGGAGGGGTGCTGATGTTCCAGCAGGCGGCAGAGATCTCAGTGAGGCTGAGCAGCAGAGCTCGGGCTCGGCCAGGGAAAACACAGAGCCTGTGAGGTAGGCCTTCTATTCTTAGTCTGCTCCCTGGAACACTGAGACACACTGAGAAACACACACTCCCGGGGGGGGGGGGGGGCACTGCTCTGACCTACTCTCTCTCACTTTACTCAGATATTGCCTTAAATGTACTGAAGTGATCTATGTGGGCTGGTGAGGGGAATGATGGAGGGCCTTATGAGGGTTGAGAGACATAAAGAAGTGGATCATGGTTACAGATATTATTGTGGTGGAATTAATGAATGGAAGAGAGCTCTATTATCTTCAGCAGTGGAATTCAAGTTTCAATTCTTAAGACTTTAATAAATATTTATGGTCAGCAGCATATATTTTTAGCAAAAGCTGTTCAATGTATTCTGCAATCGCTTATATTTACACCAGTTTTCATCATCACTGAAACGTATGTGTACCTAAACACACGGGATTCAGAAAATAATCATGTACTGTATGCATGATGACGCAGGCATTTTAATTATACGAAATCAACATTTTAGCTTATCTAAAGTATTTGTTTTGGTTTTATAACCATTCATATGATTCATGAGATAATAAAACATCATACGTTTTTCTTACATCTCAGGTTCAGTAACAATGCTCAAATGTGCTTAAAATAAAACTTTTTCAACAAGCAATGTGAAAAATATTTACACATACAGGCCTATGCCAACACACATCATGTGTTGATACACATACATTATATGCATACTGAACATGCACATTCATTCATTTAACTTCTCCTTACTTTGGTTTCTGCCACATATTTGTTGTAATAACTTTTAAAACAGGCAGTCAGTGTTCCAATTAAAATTAGATAAGACATTATTAAACATCTTGACTTTTAAACTTGGTGACAATTATAATTCAAGAGCTACTTTAATCATTGTATGAAGATCTGGTTAAATTAAGAAATGTCAAAGAACCCCGGTGTAGCCACTCATGGAGGTTAGCAGTCAGAGTTCCCAGCGGGTGTTGTGGTGAAGGATGAGGTCCACCATGACGTAATTTGTAATGCTTTATTTATTTGTCCAAGGTTAAAATGTTCTTTTACGACTCGCATATCTAAAATCTTGTTTAAAACATAACGATCACGCACACGCTCAAACTCAAACAATCACGGTCAACACGGTTGAAAAACGTGTGGCTTCCTCTCTAACCTCTCATCCCAGCTGATCACCTGTGCCCACATAGGTTAATTACCTCCCGTGCTCCCAGGTGCGCAGATTGGATGATGACGCGTTCACACACACATAGACAAACCCCGTGCACAACCCAAAGCAAATTGGCTCCAACAGCCGGTGTCTGGGAATATCAAAGGAGTATCAAATGGAATCTAACATGTGTGCTTAACACAGTTTAACACTGCATACAGCAAACATCACACAGACACAGAGACTTCCCTCGGCACGTGGTGGAGACTCAAACAGAGCTTAAAGGTGACTGAATATTGGACTAGTATTCATCAGGGGCCAGACACACACACACCAAATGAATGCTAATGTTGCGCTATGTCTGTTTGGTGTGTCAACAGACAATAGCTCGCCAACATGTTAGCCATATGAACTTTATAAAGCCTCAATATTTCAAACAAGTGTGCTTGTCGCGGAGGTTTTTGGACAACGAGCAAGTAGCTTTTTTAGTCTTGTTTTTTTTTATTTGGGAAAGTTCCACATATCTGTTAATAATGTCTGCTCTGACTGTATTTCCTGGGCCTCTTTCTTGTTGAAACCTAAATGGATTTTGTCTTCTCAGGAGTGACAGTAGGAGCTCCATCAGACAGGATGAAAGCCAGATCCCTCCAGTCCTCCGTCACAGAAAGGGGCCCCGCTTCACTGAGGCCAAGGTGGGTTCCCTCCATTTCCTTCTTTATGGACGTATTACTGTTCTTTATGATTCTGTGTACTTAGAGACTTGTAATCTTTCCCCACTCAGGACAAAGAGACAGCCAGGACTGCAGTGCCCGGAGCAGTGGACAACAGGGACTCTAGTTTGTGGTAAGAACTTTGTCCTCCATGCTTTAGTTATTATTACTACTTAAAGTGATCACTGCTACAGATTTTGACCAGTCGCAAGGTGTTGTGTTTGACTAGTTCATTGCCCCTCCCTTTTTTCCTCGATAGAGAAGATAACTGAGCATTTTTGTACTAGCTTTTTTTTAAGTTCTCGCATTTAGAAACGTAGTCAATATCAAAGTCCCTTTCATACTTGTACTCCCTCCGGTGTAAAATCGTACTTGGCTGTGCTCTCACTGGAGGTGATAATCGGAGCTGTTAGCTAGCTAGTTAGCTAGTGTCCAGCATTCCAAACTAAAAATGTTTATCACGTTTGGTGACTCAGGCCGTAAGCACAGTGGAGCAGGTGCTGCTGGCTGTGGGGGAGCAGGTCGGTCATGTAAACATCTCCTATGCTTCCCGTATGAACAAAGCGGTCGTGGTCTTTTTGAAAGACCAGAAATATGTGACGGAACGTATTGAGAGCGGATTAATGCTAAACGAGGAATATATTCAAGTTTCACTGCTGGCGACACCGTCCACGCGGATCACTATGTCTGGCGTTCATCCCGAATGAGGCGCTGGAACGGGAGCTGAAGCGTTTCGGTAAGTTTGCCAGTAATCTCCGCACTGTTGCTCTGGGGTGTAAGGATGAAAAGCTAAAACATGTCCAATCTCTGCGGAGACAGGTTTTCATGTTTCTGAATTGTCCCACTCAGACACTAGATGTGTCTTTCCGGGTGAGGCACGAAGAGGGTTTTTATATGCTTTATGCGAGCTCAGGGAACGTAAAGTGTTTTGAGTGCGGGGAGTCGGGTCACAAACGTGTTGCATGTCCACAGAGACGGCACGCCGAGCGCGGGGCCGCCGAGCGCGGGGCAGCCGAGCCCGCCGGGGCCGCTGGGGCCGCGGAACCCGGTGTCGCGGGGGCTGCTGCTGCACCCGCCGGGGCCCCAGGGGCTGCGGATGAAGTAGGGATGAATATCGTGAGAGATGAAACAGGGATTGTAGAGAGTGTGGTGAGTGTGAGAGGAAAACATGTGGAAACAGGTAAACGGGTGGGAGATGATGTAGCAGGACAGGCGAGGACTGGTGCTGTGGGACAGGTGGAGGCTGTTGGCACACAGCAGGAGCTGCCGTCTGGCTCTGGGCGGCAAAAAGAGCTTCAACAGGCTGCAGACAATAATGAGGTGACAGGGATGGACACAGACGGTGAGGGGGATTCTGACTGTGTTTCAGTTGCAGATAGTCTCTCTCAGAACGCAGAGATATATTCTTTGGAAGAGATTAATGTCTTTTTAGATGAGTCTTTTGGCAAGGCAGTGAAAGTGAGAGACTTTTTCCCTGACACTAACAAGTTTCTTCATACAGTGAGCACTCTTCAGAAAGTTGTAGGGTTAGACCTGCTGGATGAAAAGAGACGCTATCGTCTCAGGAAGCATGTAACTACTAAGAAAAAAGTTACGAAAGGAAGCAAAAAAGGGAGGAAACTGAAAAGGTCTAAATAATTTCAACATGATCATGCAACACTGGGTGTCTCCTCTCTGCTGTGTGTACCTGTCTGTTCTTTTTCTCTATCTCCTTCCTCTAATGCAGGCTTTAAGGGTTGCTTCTTTAAACATTAACGGGGGTAGAAGTGCACAGAAAAGAGCTTTAGTGTTAGAGGTCTTTAATCAGAAAAAATGAGATGTGATATTTCTGCAGGAAACGCACAGTGATAGCCTGAATGAGACGGACTGGGGAATGTGGTGGGGGGGTCAGTATGTACTCAGTCATGGCTCAAACCTTAGTGCTGGAGTAGCTGTTTTGTTCTCCCCCTCTCTAAATGTTAAGATGTGATCCAGCACAGAGATAGTGGCAGGTAGAGCCTTGATGGTGAAAGTGGAACTGTTAGAGTTATTTTTCACTTTTATTAATGTTTATCAGGGCCCTGCACATGTATCTGTGTTTCAGTTATTAAAAGACGAGCTAGACACTAGTGTACAGGGGGAGTGTGTTATACTGGGGGGGGGACTGGAACGCTTGCACTAATGTCACTTTCGACAGAATAGGACGGGAGCCGCATCCTCAGTCGTCCCTTTTACTGTCACAGGTGATAAGAGAGGCTGACTTAGTGGATGTGTGGAGGACGAAGCACCCCTCTGTTAAACAATACACCTGGATGAGAAAGCTAGATGGGGGCGTCAGTGCAGCCAGGCTAGACAGATTGTGCATGTCTGCTGCTTTTATTACTCGTGCAGTGAACTGTCACATCCAACCTGTTGGTTTTACATAGAGATGTCCCGATCCGATCACGTGATCGGGGATCGGAGCGGATCACGTGATTTTCAAAAGATCGGAATCGGGAGAAAAAAATCGGGGATCGGGAATTTTATTTTTTTTATAAAATATTTGTATTCTTTTATTTAATGTTACAAAACAAAAATGACCATGTTCACGTCTTAAAGTCATCCTGAGGCCTTAGTTTTGGTTTAAAATTACACAACATCATGTATGTGTTGCTTCTTTTGGGCTTGTTTTCATAGACCTGGTTGCTTATTTCTCTCAAATCTGGCAACAGAGTGGGCGCAGTGTCTAATAGTAGCAGCTAACGAGAGGCTACGTTCAGCTGGTGACTCGGGACTCGGGACAGAGAAAATGTCAGCAGTTTGGAAGTATTATAAAATTGAAAGCGAAGGCAGTGTAACAGCCAGATGCAATGTTTGCAAGGCGGAGGTTCCGCGTGGTGGAAAGAACAGAGCTGCGTTCAACACGACCAATCTAATACGCCACCTGAGAAACAAACACCAACAACACGACGAGTACACAGCGGCCACTCAGGTAACGGCACTGACACAACCGACACTTTCAGAGACTTTTAAAAGGAAAGAGAAACGGCCCTAGAACAGTGAAAAGGCCAAACAAATAACAGCCAAGATAGCTGAATTCATCGCGTTGGATGACCAGCCGTTATCTGTTATCTTTTTTTCTCTTAATGCATTGTATAAAGATCGGATCGGGAAAAATCGGTATCGACAGATTGTCAAAATCAAATGATCGGAATCGGATCGGGAGCAAAAAAAGGTGATCGGGACATCCCTAGTTATACAGATCATCAGCTAGTTTCTTTAGATTTGGTGTTACCCAACACAGAGAAACCTAGATCGTTCTGGCAGTTTAATGTTAAAGTTTTACAAGATTTGATTTTCTGTGAGAATTTTTAATTGTTTTGGATCAACTGGAAATCAAAGAAAGAGTCTTTTCCCTCCCTGAGTCAGTGGTGGGAGGTAGGAAAGGCTTAGATTAGAGTGTTCTGCCAACAGTATGCAGCCTACTCTACTGCAAACATTAGGAGAGCTATAGAGCAGTTAGAGAGGGAGATCAGAGAGTTAGAGAGTGTGTCTGCTCGAAATATAGAACAGTCCCTCCTAAAACAGCTTAACTGTTTTCTTCAGGAGAAGGCCAAGGGAGCTCTGATCAGAGCCCGTTTTACTTCCATGAGAGACATTGATGCACCAACCACCTTTTTCTTCAACCTGGAGAGGTCTGTGGGCCAAAGGAAGCAGATGGTATGTCTGCGTCTCCCCGATGGACAGGTAACCTCTGAACCTGCTGAGATGAGGAGGCATGTAGTGTCCTTCTACACGGACCTGTTCAAAGCAGAAGGTTGTGACGTGGAAGCTGCTGATGAACTTCTTCAGGGTCTTCCACAGCTGAGTCCAGCCGAAAGTGACACCCTGGGCTCTGACATTACGCTGGAGGAACTGACCTCTGCGGTGACACAGATGGCCTCCGGCAAGGCTCCGGGCATTGACGGTTTACCTGCAGACTTTTTTAAACATTTCTGGAGTATTCTGGGACATGAGTTGCTAGAAGTATTGATGGAGTCCTTTGGGAAAGGGACTCTTCCAGCTTCCTGTAGGCGTGCAGTGATTTCACTGTTGCCTAAGAAAGGAGATCTAACCCTGCTTAAGAATGGGAGACCTGTGGCTCTCTTATGTACGGACTATAAGATACTGTCAAAGGTCTTAGCTAACAGACTGAAGTGTTTTATTGAACTTCTTATTGGTACTGATCAGACATATTGCATCCCTGGCAGATCAATTGTGGACAATTTGTTTTTGATGAGACACTTTTGATGTTTGCAAACTGTATAATATAAATGTTGGTATTATTTCTATTGACCAGGAGAAGGCGTTTGATCGTGTGGATCACACGTTTCTGGCTGCCACATTGCAGGCTTTTGTTGTTGGGGAGCATTTTTTGTCCTGGGTGAAGTGTTTGTACAGTGATGCATGCTGTGTTGTGAAGGTGGGGGAGGGCTGAGCAGACCTGTACCAGTTAAAATGGGGATCAGGCAGGGCTGCCCTATCTCAGGCCTATTATATAGTATTGCCATCAAGCCGCTTTTGTGCAGACTTAGAAACCGTCTGAGGGGTCTGTGTCTGCCAGAGTCAGCTCAGGCCCCCCTGGTGGTTGTATCAGCTTATGCTGATGATGTCAGTGTTTTTGTCCAGGGTCAGCGAGATATCCAGGAGCTACAGGACAGTTTAGCTTTGTACAGGAAGGCTGCTTCAGCCAAAGTTAACTGGGAGAAGAGTGAGGCAGTTTTGGTAGGTCAGTGGAGTGTAGGAAATAGGCCCAGTCTTCCTGGTAACCTTGGCAGGGGAAACAAGGGTTTAAAGGTCCTGTGAGTTTGGTTGGGGTCTGAGGACATGGTGGCACAGAACTGGGAGGGATTGCTGGGAAAGGTGCAGGCTAAATTAGCTAAATGGAAATGGCTGCTACCCCAGCTGTCCTATAGGGGAAGAGTTCTTCTAGCCAACAATCTGATTGCCTCGTCTCTGTGGCACAGACTCCAGGTGTTAACCCCACCGCCGGGCCTCATGAAACAACTGCAGCGGCTCCTCGTGGATTTCTTCTGGTCGGATCATCACTGGGTGCCAGCATCGGTCCTGTACCTGCCTGTGGCGGAGGGGGGCCAGGGCCTTGTGGACATTACTGCGAGGACTGCTGCTTTTAGACTGCAGGCAGCTCAGCGGCTGCTGTATGGTGCCTCTCCCTGCTGGCTGGCTATGGCCAGGCTGTTGCTCTGGAGGGCAGGGGGCTTTGGTTTTGATAAACACCTGTTTCTGCTGAAGGCCCCTGCGTACAAGATAACTGGACTTGCACCTTTTTACTGCTCAGTCATCAATGCCTGGAAGATTCTGAGTTTTACCAGACCACCCGACCCTCGGCCTGGGATGTGGCTGTTTGAGGAGCCACTGTTTGACACTGGTTTTCTTTCTGGAACCTTTTTCTCTTCGGCCACCCTAAAGAACGCGTTCATTGAAGCGGGAGTGGTAAAACTTGGCCATTTGACGGGGGTCTCCACAGAAAAACTGGCTGAGGTGACGGCATTCGATCAACCCGAGTTCTGGAGAACCTGGTAGATGAGGTGTGGCAGTCGCTGTCGCCATCCCACCGGACTTTTGCTCTGGATGCAGATCTGGCTGACCAGTGGAGAAAGGGACATGAGTATGTCTTTCCTGCCTTGAGTGTGGGTCCTGCGGTGGGGGAATGGAGAGAGGAGGATGGTCTCCTGCTATCACTGGGGACTCTAACACCTGGAACATTCAGCTCCTGCAATGGGAAGAAGCTATATCTTAGCTGCGTAAAGGTGCTAAACCTCAGTTCTCTTCCAGGCGTCAGAGAGACGAGGTGAACGGATGTGTTTGGCTTGGGCTCTTCCCCTCAGGACATCTGGCGGATCCTGTATAAAGCTCAGGTTGAGAAACGGATGGCTGACATCCAATGGAGAATTACACACGGTGCAATAGCCACTAGCAAATACAGAGCTCATTTTGACCCAGGCACAAGGGGGAGCTGTCCGTTCTGTTTTATGGCAGAAACATTGGAGCATTTAGTGGTGTCCTGTCCCCGATTGGCTGGTCTTAAAACAATGTTACAGGGGTGGGTGGAAGGGTTGGGGGAGGTTTTCTCCATACCACTTTTTGTCCATGGCCCAAATACATCCTGAAAAAGAAAGAAACCCTACTATTGATGAATGTCTTGTTTGCTAATGCAAAATTAGCAATCTGGAAAAGTAGGAAGAACCAACTTGCTGGAGTGGGATGGACGGATGCAGTGCTCTGTCTGAGGGGGCTGGTGGCAGCGCGTCTGAGGGTGGAGCATGCGCTGATCAATCATCTGCAGGGGTTTCTGGATGTGTGGGCTGTTGGGCAGGTTCTGTGCTCACTGGGGGAGAATGACTTTCTAATATTGAAGTTTTTTAAATTAGATGTAGTCTTTGTTTTTAAAGTGTGTAAAAGAGGATGTTTTTAAATGGGTAATATGTTTCAAATGATATTTATTTTGGTAGTCATGAAAATCTGTTTTTTTTTATTTTTTTAATTGTAATGTATTAGGGTTTGTCCAAATCTTTTGCAGGGTGTGTGTATAGTTAAAACAAATGTAAATAAAATGTGTTTTAAAAATCAAATCATCTTCTTCTTCACAATCTGTATACTGTTGACCTTATTTGGACCTTTGTTTTGTGTGTGTGTGTGTGTGTGTGTGTGTGTGTGTGTGTGTGTGTGTGTAGGTGCGGTGAGAACTCTGAGCTGTATGTGCTGCTGCTGCTGCTCTGGCTGCTGCTCTACTGTTTCTTGCTGCTGCCTCAGATGGACCTGAAGACCCTGCCCAGCCTGCTACTGAACCTGGACCACTGAAAACACACACACACACACACACACACACACAGCTCCACTGCCACTTTCCTGTTCATTGCTCTGACTGTACTCCAGATCAAGTGAAGGCGTTTATGTATTTCAAACTACTAAAGCTTTTTTAGATTTTTGCTTTTGAGCTTCGATGTGGCTTTATTTAATCTGTATGACAATGTGTTGGGGCCACTGCTAAGAAATAAAGATATTGGACTTTTAAGAATCAATTATAAAATAAGTGGTATACTTTTAAGAAAAAAAGAGTAATATTATTATAGAAGTTGTATTTTCATAATATTTCTACAAAATAACAACGTTATCTGTTCTTAAGTTTTTTCCTATGATGTTTTTTAATTTGTTCTCCAAAAATGTACAATTAACTCATAGAATTATGGCTTAATTTATGTAACCGTTTTTTCTCAAAATGTATAAATATTCTAGCCGTGGCCCTGATGTTCTGTTTTAAATACACTAGAGAACGTTTATTGCGGACATTGAAAGACATTATGACTGTACAGCACACTTTTTGTACATAAATATATTCTATGGATTTATTGACGCACAGTTGCCTAAATATCTTAATAGCCATTTAAGAAGACTTTGGAAGTTACGTAACTTTTATCAGATAATAAAACTGGACATAGTGAAGCTAAAGCCAGAAAATAAAATCAAGCATGTGGATGAAACAGCTGGGCTTTCTGAGCTTATGTATCTGTTTTATGTAAAGATGAATGAAGGGGGATTATGATCTGTTGCACTTTTTAATACAAACTGCCAAAGATAGTGCGCATTCAGAAAGTACACAACTCACCATAGGAATGGAAGTCTTGTTTATAACACACAGAGGGTCTTCATTTACTCTTGTACTAAAGCGTTGCCCAGCTCTATATTGCATAACAGTTGAGGCGAAATATGTATTTGTAATATTTTATGAGAAATAAATGTTTCATGTGATGGAACGATGCTTGTCGCAGCCTGTCGATAGAAAGAGAATGCTTTACAATGAAATATCTTTCTATATGTTATTTTTTAATATTGTCTGTAATGAAGCACTATGACAAAGTGGGTGAAGTCTCTGTTTACTCTGAATTACAGTACACCCCCCCCCCCCCCCCCCCCCCACCCACTGACTGAGGGCTATTCCTGCTCACTACAAACTAGGTCGTCCTATAGCACAGTGCAACACTATCAAATCTTTTATTTGTGTGTTTTTATTTTACGGTTATCCTTGTGAGAACTAGATCTGTGTCCCAGTTCCATATGATTTACTGCCTTCCCTGCATCCATTACAGAGTGGTGCAGGGATGACGTATTTCTGTAGGCCGTCCCTGAAGCCAGCATCACAAGGGCTCCCTCTACAAAAGCCAATGGGATTTTTCCATTGGGTTTTGAAATATTGCAGAAATTAAAGGTGGGGTAGGTAATTCACTTCAGAAACACTTGTTATATTCCATGGAATGCTCTTAACATCCCGATAGCAATGAATACATTAAATGCTTTGACAATAAATACATTTAAAAAATGCATCTGTGGAAGCCACCAATCATTTTACCCGGCCCGGCTAAAGTAACTGGATGGCCTACCTGCCTGTCAGCCTTCCATCTGTGCACAAACTTATCTCGTGCCCTCATTGGTCATGTGCGCGTTCGTGTGTGTTGGAGGAGGGGCTCTGTAAGAAAGTCTGAAGGAAGGGGCAGATTTCTTCCGGTTGTGTATTTTCAAATTCGAGCGCACTCGAGCTGGTTTCTCCAAAATGACCTACCCTACCTTTAAGATCTGTGGCAAACACACGTTTATGATACTTACACTTTTGATTCAGCTTCCCATATTAACACTACTTTATGTTTTTTTAAGCGTAAATGCAAACGCCAGAGGCTAGGCTATAAACAAACTACACTAAGCTAAAGGTGGCTAACATTCATTGTGATGATGTCTAGTAGTCTCATTTATCCACTGTTAGCAACAACTGTTTTTAAGACGCATAAAAGCTTGAGACATTCGCCAGTTTTATTCACTGGTATATTTTATGTCGTAGAACAAAGCGTTAACATCTCAACAGCTTGTGTTAACCATATAGCCTACCTTGTTTCAGGCTAACAACCTAACATGTTCAAAAAAAACATTGATTTAGAGAAGAGGGAACAGGAAGTGGTAAAAAGCTAACTCATTTCCAGGTTCTATTCCCGCACCACTCTATGTATTAATTGTGCTAGAATTCTGTTTTGCCAGTTACGATACACTAAAGGCATGACATGAGGCAATATGAGCACCAACAGATCTTTGGAAAACCGGTAATTCAATATTAGTATACACAGTCCATCAACAAGGAAACACAGTTAGTTGAATAAAGTACTAAGGCCTCCCATGAGTTATCCAATAACAACATTTTTAGTCAAAGACCTCAGATATTATGGCGAAATGATCACAAACCTTAAAGTTTCAAAGGCAAAATTTAAAACTAATAAAATATTTACAGTAGGCCTACTAATAAAGTCATGTACAAGAGCTAAAAGTAAAAGAAAATACCAGAAAATGAAAAGAAAGGATCAAATCAAAGTACATATACAGATCAATGTACTATAATGCCATAAAACATTTTTAAAGATTAACCCAAGAGCACAAACATCTGTTTTGTATCTTAGAAATGCATATTATCGGTTAGTTGAACTAATTAAAGTCAAATTACTGTTGGTAAAATATTTCTAAACTTTGATTATGATTGTTGAAGAGAGATTGAGGTTCAGTCCACATTCCAACACTGACTGTTCTGTTATCGGCCTATTTGAATGAACTACATTCTGACCTCAGAATGACTTTAGTATGTAAATGGCACAGCTCAGTTTTACTGGATACATTCCACCATGGGCTGCTTAGGGTTGCTAATGTCAGTCAGTCAGATAGAACCTTCAGGTTAATGTTGAAATTGAAGCATGGAGATTAAAGATTATAAAAGAAGTGTCTCTATCAAACCTTGTTATGATGAGAAACATAATTATTTCATGAGGAAAACATAATCATCTTGTTATTCAGAAAAATAAAGAATGGGACACACTGTCCTTTACAACCTGATAAGCATACATTAGGTAAGCATTACATAAAATCTAACATTTGTATACGTTTTAAATAATTAAATCTGGGCAAGGGCCTACATTTGTTTTCAAAGTGCAACCACCTTATAACTAAGATATAATAAGGATTAGATTTTTAGTATGTGTCCCAATATGCAAGAAAAGTGCCCTCTTGGTCTGAAACTGAGTGACCATGAATGCATCACGACTCTCTGCACATGTCCTGAAATACTGTGTCCCTCTGAGTCTGGGACGGGACGTGAGGAAATAGTAGGACAGTTTAAGGTCGTTACAAGGGTACAGTAGACTGTGTGTGTGTGTGTGTGTGCACGTGTGTGTGTGTGTGTGTGTGTGTGTGTGTGCGTGTGTGTGTGTGTGTGTGTGTGTGTCCAGTGACTATGGCCACAGGACCATAGCAGCCCCCCCACCACCATAACCCTGAAAGGACTGACCTAGTAAAGCATATTAGCTTTTGTATGGGAACCTTCCTGTTTCATCGCAGTCGAGTGCAATAAAGAACATCTTTGAAACTCTCATCTTCTCTTGTGTGTGTTTTGTTTTGTTCCATTTTAGAGATGTTAGATCTGTGAATACTTAAATAATACACATATAATTGTTTGCCACTTTTTTTCATTTAAAGCTGCATTTTTCTATATTTTTACTTCAACAATGGGTCAAATGTGAAGTAAAAGAGGTGTCTCGAGGTGACAAATCATAATGATCTGAATCTGCTGTTCCACTTGAACCCCTTTTAGCCTCTTTCCATTCATTATTTAGTCTGAAATAAAAGACGGCTTTGTTTCAGTATCTGCACCTTGGATTGCAAGGTTCAATTCTAAATGTATTTTCCAAGTACTTGTACTCTGTGCAATGACCATAAACCTGATCGAATGAAAAGAAATAAGAGTTAGGTGTTTTTCTCAGAGCTATAGGGAGTTGCTGAACTCCAAATGAATTCTAATGTTGCTCTGTTTCTCCTGCGACACAAACGTGCGTGTGTGTTTTGGAGTGCTTCCCCCCATCGGCCAACAAACTAAACACAATGATCAGAACATGCTTTATGTTTCATAGCAAGGCTATACAGCATATGGACACATCACATTAAGTAACATGTAGTCAGGCAGATGTGTAAAGTAACTGAAATGAACTGTGTCAAATCTATTAGGTGCCAACATTTTGTTTTGTTTTCACATTTGTGTTTTCTTCATACTTTATTATCTAAGGCTCATCCATCCATTTGTCTTTAAAATGTTGAGAGGAATATAATCCATTTGCATGTTTTTATTTGATATATTTTGTTGTTTTAATGACACATTTTAGACTTCACGGTTCCTGCCAGATTCCTTTCTAGTCCTTTGTTCATGTGCAATATATACTTTTTACTGTTGACTTTTGTTATGAATTGCTGCTACATCTTCTTTTCTTTGTCACTTTAATATACTTGATTTGTCTTTCAGTGATGTGGTTGCCTCTTTATTTAATATGGTAATCTACTCATTTCATTTGGCCTTCTTTCCGAACTCTCCCCTTTTGCTGTCACAATGTTCATTTTCTCTGTGTAGAACTAAAGATTTCTAATTGTGATTAGTTGTAAAATGTTAAAACGGACCTCAAATCCAGTTTCAGTTAGTATCTTGTATATGTGAAAGTTTGGAGTTGTGCTGTCAGAAACCTGCAGATGATGTTAAGTTTATATATATATATATATATATATATATATATATATATGTATATATACCGTATGATATACCTTTTTCTGCAGGCCCAGTAGGAAAGAAGTAGTACAGCGTTCAGTGTTGAAGGCACTGTGAGGCCTGATCTCTGTGTTGGTGTAATGCTGCCATCCAGAGGACATCATGTGACACAGGCTCAACCAATGGTGGAACGTATCAAGAAACACAGAGGCAGGGAAAGATAAGAGATAATATAAGATAGAACTTTATTGATCCCAATTTGGGACATGTTTGTGTCACAGCATAAAAAGACATGGCATTGTACAATACAAAATTAAAAGACAAGAAATAAACAAGAAAGTATAAAATATACATGTTGAATTCACAAATTAACAATAAAAATATATAAGCAAGGCATTATATTTACATAAGTATGTGACAGATGGAATATTAAATATTAGCCTGAATATATAAATGTAAAATTATTGCAGTAGGCAGGAATGTGTTCCTGTATCGGTCCTTGAGACAGCGGAGCTGCAGCAGTCTGTTGGAGAAGGAGCTCCGTTGACCCTCCAGCTGCAGGTGGAGAGGATGGGTGGGGTTATCCATCATGGACAACAGCCTGTCCAGTGTCCTCCTCTCCACCACAGCTTCAAAGGGGTCCAGCTTGATGCCGATGACTCCTGATCAGTTTATTGATCCTGCTGGTGTCACCGGCTCTTATGCTGCCCCCCCCCCAGCAGACCGCAGCAAAGAAGAGTGCACTGGCCACAACAGACTAGAAGATCTCCAGCATCTTGCTGCACACGTGGAAGGATCTCAGCTTCCTCAGCAAATAGAGTCTGCTCATCCCCTTCTTGTACACAGCGTCAGTGTTGATCCTCCAGTTCAGCCCATTGTCTAAGTGCACTCCCAGGTACTTGTAGTCCTCCACCACAACAACACCCTCTCCCAGAATGCACAGGGGCTGAGGAGACGTCCTCTTCCTCCTGAAATCAATGACCATCTCTCTGGTCTTGTCCACATTCAGAAGCAGATGATTTCCTCCAGTCCACTCTACAAAATCACCCACCAGCGCTCTGTACTCCTCCTCCCGTCCAGCTCTTATACACCCTAATGCACAGTCATCCGAAAACTTCTGCAGGTGGCATGACTCTGAGTTGTATTGAAAGTCAGAGGTGTATAAGGTGAACAGCACAGGACAGCACAGTCCCCTGTGGGGTTCCTATACTACCAACCACCACATCAAACAGCACACTGCCCAGCCGGGCGCACTGTGGTCTGTCCGTGAGGGAGTTGGTAATCCAGGAAATGGTGGACGAGTTTACCCTCAAAGCCTGCAGCTTGCAGAAAAGCTGCTCCTGCTGCTAATCCTGAGCCCTTTTGGATTGGAAAAATATAAATAAATATATAAATATGTTTATTTGCCAATAAAAGCTATGTTTAAAGTAACTGTGTTGATAATCATAATGTTAAGCACAGTGGTGTGAAGTAAATAAGTGCATTTATTCAAGTACTGTTCTTAAGTCCAATTTTGAGGTACTTGAGTATTTCAATTTTTGTTTTGCTACTACATTTATTTAGTAGCTTCAGTTACTTCACAGATGTGGATGAATGATGTGAAATATAATCAAGTGTTGAATCAGACTTTAGTTCCACCTGGAGTAAATCCACCAGCTACCCTGCAGTATACAAAGTCATTCAAACTAGCTGCACCTTTACCAGCTTTGAGAACACTTTCATGATCAATCATTATAAAACACATCATATATATTATTCTGAAATGGACCAATCTGCACAATGACTACTTTTACTTTTAGTACTTTAACTATATGTTGATGCTAATACTTTTGTACTCTTGAGTAACATTTTGAATGCAGGACTTCCTACACTCTGGTACTTCTAATGTTACTTTAGTACGATATATGAGTACTTCTCCTGTCTTCTATTAGTTTGCTTTACTTTTTACAGGCCATGTCTACGTTGTGTACTCTTCCTGCTGGAAGAGCTGTCCAGAACATCAATTTGGCCAAAAGACAGAAAGCGAATTTAGTCACAAGTTCTCTGTCATGTATTTTTGTGTTCAATTTATCATCCAAAACCAATGTTGTTGTTTTTTTGCAGCTGTGTGGAAGAGGTGCTGCTGATTGGTTGCAGTGAGAAGGATGAGGAACAAGTGTGCCTGTGCAAATAATGTGTACTGCATGTGTAAAGCTTCTGCTGCAAGACATACATTTAGTACTGGAACAAAGCTCATGGTTTTAGCAATGGATGGTTGTGTTGACCTAAGAACGTTATCTTATTATTAAAGTAGGTCATTTGACAACCCCCTTACCCTCTGGAAATCATGTGTATGTGTGTGTGTGTGTGTGCGCGTGCGTGTGTGGACAATTACTGCTTCTCAGATGATGGCAGGTTAAAGCATATACATGCTACACTGCAGCAGAATAATAATATCTTTATAATATAATATAATATTATATAATTTAATGAAGGAATGTAATACATTTCCCCTGAAATAAGGCCAGTGGCTGTGTACCTTCAGTACATCATAAAGTGCAGGGATTCTCGTTCACCTTAGTAGAATTGCGTCCCAGAATTGGACTGGCAGTTACGGAATTGACGTTAATGTTTAGACGTAGCAGAGGCCCGGTGGAAGGAAGTGGTCCCAGTGTGAATAAGAAGCCACCAAATCGGGACAGCAAGAGTGAATGACAGTGAGGAAATCCAACGAATGATTTGAAGTATTTTTATCCAAGACTAAAATTGAGAAAAAATACACCAGGTGAGATTATGTAGCACATTCTATTATTGGTCTTCCTGGAATAACATTGCTATTGTGCATGTGTTGGCCTTATTAGCCATTAGCTAGTTAGCAGGCGGCTGTCTGACATGGTGCATGGTGGCTGGAGCCGCTCTCCAGACGTTGTTTAGCCCTACACGCTGTACATTTCGGGTAAAGCCGTTTTCAGTTAAGCTCACGGGAGCAGGTAGGCACACTCGCACATAAAGTTAATGACCATTAAATAGCCAGGCTAAAAACTAGCTGCTTCAATACAGGGACTAACCGTTAATGTAATGCTTGCTAGCCATGCTAGGCTAACTTGTTTAGCGTTGTTTCCATTGCAGTTATGTGTCTTAGCCCTGTTGCTATGTAAGGGGCTAATAGCACAGCTTTTGGCTACTTCATTTGTACCAATACATCACGGTATCAGGTAAGATAACGCAACGTAAATAAGCTAATTATTTATGCTAACGTTAGCGCCCAGCTGTTAGTTAATGGGAGCTAGCGTCTTCAGTTAATACTTTGACACCATAGTGAGGCCAGGGGTCGTGTTGCTCTTTGGAGTCCAGGTTATCTCAAGCAGGCATCTCTAAATAGTTAATAACATAGCTTTAAGGTTACGGCCATGTGTATTACATCAGCTACTCATGAGAAATGGAGCTGCTTAGTTGCTAGCTAGCCAATGTTACTCAGCGTGGTCTCTACTTTAAGTACTTGTTTGACATACTTGAGTATTTCAATGTAATGCTACTTTATACTTCTTCTTATTTATTTATTCATTTATTTAACAGGGACAGTGCACATTAATGAACATTTCTGTAAATGTGCCAGAGTTAGCCAAGAGGCTATTTTTCATCTGTAGTCCCTATATTTCAGAGGCTAATATTGTATTTTTGTACTCCACTTAATTTATTTTAAAACTCTTTATACATATAACTTACTTTGTACATATCATATTAAAACACTGATCTACACAGTATTTCATGTATATACATTTGACAATACAAACTACAATACTCAAATGATCTGACATGTATACAAACAGGATAATATAATAACTGTAATAATATATTACTGCATAACTGGGAGTTTTACTTTTGATACTTACAGTGCTTAGAGATGTACGATTAGCTGATACTTCTATTCTTTATACTATTTTGAAATGGACCATTTTGCATTATGACTACTTTTATTTACAGTTCATTTGAGTGCTAATACTTTTGTACTTTTAACATTTGAAATCAGAACTTTTACTTGCAGCAGAGTATTGTAATACAATAAGTACAATAGTATTTGTACTTTTACTTAAGTATTTCTCCCAACACTGATTCTATGAACACAACACAGGACCCCCCCTGACACCAGCCCACAGACATGATGCATTTCAGGAACGCTCATCATGTACACATGTTGTTCTTTTAATACTTGAGCCAGTTTCATGTTCACCTCTCTGGATATCTTTTGCACATTCCTATACATCCTCATATGTGTAAACGCACCTGGAAATACACTTGATTCGGATGAACTACAATACTTGAGTAAATGTACTTTCCACCATTGAATGTAATGGTTACTGAGCGAGGAAACGGCTAATGCAGAATTAACACCGTTTCAGAGAATCAAATATATGAATGTCAAACAAGCCCTCGTTTATTTAGTTAATGACTGGATATGATGCAGTAACAAAGGTTTGGGACATTGTGTTCTGCATGTTTGTCTTGCTTGAAATACCCCTAGCATATTTATCTCTTTTTCTGGCAGCAAGACTGTGGGACAGTGGCACGCACAGGTGTCAATGATTCAGTCATTTACAACTGACATTAGGATCAATGTTACCGTGTGATATGGTGTTCTATACAAGGGATAGGCTTTTAAGCACCAGACGTATTCATGTGTTCATGTCAGGAGAAGATGTGTTGGAGTGAAGCAAAGGTCAACCAGTGGAACATGTTTTGGACTGTTGTTCAAATGGCATGTGCTGATCCTGGTCGGTCATTTCTGATTGTTATAATCTTTTGATCCTTATTTTGCACATAATGAATGTTCTGTTTTTATATACCATTTCAAACTGGCCTATACTGATACTTTGTGACATGTGACACTGATGATTATGTTATGTGGCTAATGTAATTGATATTTGAAGTTTCAAAATAGATAAAGGCCTCTTATATGTCGTATGTTTCCGTCAGTAGCTGGGGCTCAGGGTGTAAAGGACTGTCTGCAAAGGGTCAGTGGTTTGATCCCTTTGACCCGTCCATACTCTGTTTTCAGGTGTGTGGAAGTTGTAAATGTTTCAGCTAAATGACATATCATTGGGATTTTCACTTTGCTAGTGGTATGTAAATAACATTCTACAGGCAGAAATACTGGTTTTCCAAATACAGTCAACTGGTTTAATACACACAAACAAAAGCGTTCACGGGCTTGCTGTTTGTGAAAGAAAACCGAGACTTCCCATAGAGGCAGTTTTCCAGGTGACCGTGCCGTCGTGTGGATCTTTTGCCCCTCTGTTTACACTTTTACAGATTAGATATGATGCGGACAGACCGTGTTTTCTCAGACTCACTGATCCACGTAAGTTCCTCTGAAGGGGCTCAGCAGTACATACACCAAGCAACAACAGTCCAGGGATTGGTGAAATAGTTGTAACACACACGTCTGTCTTTATAGTATAAGTCCTTTGCCCTAACGCAGACGAGAGGAGGACAGCACGCCTGGCCCCGGACAGCTGAGGCAGTGAGACCTAAAGCTGCCACTAGTTCATCTATGGAGGTCCTATGTCAAATCAAATGCTGAAATGTGTTGCCAAACATACTTGGGGAGGAAGAGAAACACTGTTCTAGTGATGGATCCATCCTTCCTCTGCTCATTGCACCCAGCTGTACCCAGTACAATTTTCATTTAGCTCTGCGTTGCCGTTTAGTGGGCAGCTGTGGCTCAGGAGGTAACGCAGTCGTCCTCCAATCAGTGTGGTTACATTCCCCTGCAGTCAACATGTCGTATCCATGGAGAAGATACTTAACCCTTAAATTGCTCCCGATGGCCAACAGTGTTTGAGTGAATGTTAGTCTCCTTGCACGGCAGCCTCTGCCTCTGTATGAATGTGTGTGAATGCTGACTTGTATATGTAAAAGTGCTTTGAGTGGTCGTAAGTTTGAAAAACACTATAATAATGCAGTCCGTTTATCATTGTCTTTGCAGAGCTGAGGAGGACCCATTCACAGTCCTTGACACTTCTCATTTGTGTAGAGGTGAGTAATTATTATATCAGTCTAACAGTACTACATTAGCATCAGCAGATGCAGTCTCTGTGGAACTTGTATCCTTCCTCTACATACCTAGCCATTAACTACACTGTAATATAGACTTCTATATGTCTATCATATCTGCATTGCAAACTATAACAATGTTCTCTGTTTGGTTTTCAGGTCTGTTACCTACTAAATGTGGGGCATCATCAGTACTTGATTGAGAGCCGTTTTATCATGAAGCCCAGATTAAGTGTTGTCTGCTTATTCAAAAAGTCACACTTATTACCTGTAAGTATATTTCCTAAGAAATTCCTTCTTATTGACCAAATAATGTTCCCCCTTTAGAACTCACGCTGTTTTCTAAACCACATGCTCAAAGACATCTTCTTCTCAATATCTAAGCTATATCATATTGCAGACAAGAGCCAACACATCATTTTATAATGAATACATTATGATACCATTAAAAAGTTCTATCACCCAATACTCATTTCAGTGAATAGAGTTGAATGTGTCACAGTGTAACTCTGGAACCTCCATTCAAGTTACCCAGCACACCTGTCGCTAACGGCTATCTTCAACTCACTTCTCTTCCGCCTGATTTGCTGTTCACAATGTGGCAGAGAAATCATATGGCGTGTCCCCTGGATTCGTCAGTAGTGCATTTATTGCGTTATGTTGGTTTTAAAATGTCAGCCATTGGTAAACTCGGTGACTTTTGAGCCCTGATCCGTGGTACTGAAGAAAAACAAGTGCTGTCACATTTGTGTTGTACAAAGACGTCTAGAGCGACTCAGGTTCAAAGACTTGATTTATGGCAGGTACCATTAGAAGGTCCATTCTTTCATATTCAATGGAAAAATCCAATCTTTTCAACCGCACACCTTGTATCACATTTCCAGACCACATTGCTACATTTCAAACTTAATTTGGGAAAACAAGAGCTCCAAAGAGGCTGTTATCAAGTTCTGAACAGGTGTTTTATCAAACTCCAAACAAGCCATTTTCTAAACAAGCTTTACTCAAGCCCTTAACAAGTCATTGTCATGTTCTAAACGATCACCTGTTGACCTTCTCTAAGGAACATCCAAAAGCACTTGATCTGTAAACAAGCTGCCCTTTCCCCAAACAAGTTCTAATGAAGCTGTCCTCAAGCTCTACTCTAATGTAGAAGCTCTTCCATTGCTGCTGTCACATTGTAAGCTGCTTTAGAGCTCTTAATGAGCTGTTCTTGCCTTCTAAATAACGCTTTCAAGCCCTGAAAAAGCGACTTAAAAGCCGTTGTCTGCTCTAAGTGGTTTGCATACACACTAGAACTCATCGTCTCTAATCAGTTATGTGTGGCAGAAAGTCTGTAACACAGTTCCTTCATCTCCCCCACAGTGAACCTCTGTAAAGGATTATGAAATGAGATAAAGTGTACGACTGGAGGAGCACTGCCCCCCCCACCTCCACCTCTTTGAAGCATGGCAGGCCTACAGCTGGTCACCCCTGCCACTTCACCCATGGGGCCTTTCTTTGGTCTGCCGTGGCAGCAGGAGGCTATCCATGATAACATCTATACACCGAGGAAATATCAGGTAAGGAGGCTTGTGTGTGCCAGCTGCTATGTGTTGTATACGTCTGTTGAGGATAAGTCAACAAAAAAGGCAAGAGGCGATGGAGTGTTGCGTCTGTGACGGTATAAGACTACAGTACTGAACCATTTTTGAAGTAGAAGCATCAGCTTATGATTGATAATAGCTATATAGAAAGGTGCTAGTTGATGCCAACTCATTTGGAGCTTTAGGACCGATTCCTGTTGATTTGTTTTCATTGGTTAGAAATGTGTTTATTATATACCTGTCAGTAAACCTTGACCTTTCCTCCACAGGTAGAACTTCTTGAAGCAGCTATTGAACATAATACTATCGTCTGCTTGAATACTGGCTCAGGGAAGACCTTTATTGCAGTTCTTCTAACAAAAGAGCTCTCCCACCAAATCCGTGGACATTACCAAGAAAATGCGAAGAGGACTGTTTTTCTGGTGAACACAGGTACCTGCTGACGTGCAACAGATGTTTCTTTCCCTTAGTGCGTCTCTTTTTCTCAAATACCTATTGTAAACGGCACTGGTCATTCCCAAATTTGACCAAAGTTATTTTTCACATCAATTCTGATGTATATGTTTGATTTGACATGCTTCTCTCTGGCCTACAGCTCTGACTGTAGTTCAGCAGGCAGCTGCAGTCAGGACTCACTCTGACCTCGCGGTGGGAGAGTACACAGACGTGGAGGAGACCTCAGCATGGACTGACCAGCGATGGAGTCAAGAGTTAATCCAGAATCAGGTGTGCTGCTTATTTGTCTCAGTAAATTAACACTAGCTTCATGCTAGTTCCATGCTTATGGATGTTGGGACCGTTTTGCAGACTTTTGTCAGCTGTAAGAATTGACCATTAGGTAGTTGTACCTGTGTTGTTCTTTGACAGACTTGTTAAAGTACAATGCATCAAATGACATTGTGGGTTTAACTCGGATTAATAACTCTAACTTTTGACCATAATTGGGCTATTTAGGGAGTGCTGCAGTGATGATGTATTTTTGTAGGCTAACCCGGAAGTTAGCATACCTTGGGCTCCCTAGGTACAAAAAGCAATATTATTTTCCCATAGGATTTTGGAGTATTGCAGAAATGAAGCTCTGTGGCAAACAAAGGTTTATGATACCTACACGTTTTGTTCAGCAGGATAATCTCCACATTTTAACACCAATTTTTTATTTATTTTAAAGCGTTAATACAATAAATAAAAAGGGTTAATGCTAAAATGCTAACGCATGGCTAAGAAAGTTCTAAGATAAAGGTGGCTTATGATGCATGTCATGACATTTGGTAGTTTAATTTAGACACTTGTTAAAGAGCGCAGTTTTTAAGACTCATAGAGACTTCAGACATTATCCAGTGGTGTGTATTTACTGACATATTTTTAGTTACACAACAAAACATGAACATCTCTTAAGCTTGTTTCTACCCACAGACGTGGTTTCAGATATTTAACATAAAACAGTGCTAAAATGCTAACTCATTTCTGAGTTATGGACTCATTCCCGCACCACTCTATTTGCACCTTCATTACCAATCATTCCATAGTCATTGCTGAAAATAATATGGTCTCCTCTCTTTCTTAATACTCTCTTCTACAGGTGCTGGTCATGACCTGCCACATATTCCTTCACGTTCTAAAGAATAAAATCTTGCCGTTGTCTAAAATCAACTTGGTGGTTTTTGATGATTGTCACCTGGCCATCACAGAGCACCCTTACTGTGAGATAATGAAGGTGAGATTGTTTTTGTTTGAGTTGTTTTGTATTGTATTTTGCAGGAAAGTGGTCCAAGACAAGTGAGAATGACTTGACTCTGTTCTGTTTCTGTGCAGCTGTTTGAGGGCTCCTCATGCTGCCCTCGTATCCTGGGTCTCACAGCCTCCATTCTGAACGGGAAGTGTGACCCGTCAGAGCTGGAGCAGAAGATCCTGAGTCTGGAGAGGGTCCTGAAGAGCAATGCTGAGACCGCCACTGACCTTGTGGTTCTGGACAGGTACAAAGCCCTTACTTCTGATCTATGTCTTTATGACTTTATTAGGATCCCCGTTAGCACTAGCATGAGTATTAGCTATTCATCCTGGGGTCCACACACATGCAGTCAAACACACATTCACACAGTTTAGCCATTTCAATTAAGTAAACACTCTGCACTTAAAGACATGTTAAATACCCCAAAAATAAATAATAGTAAGCAATGAATATAAAATGTAATTATCTGCAAAGGAAGATATATACTTTTACGCTTGTTTTCATTTTTCTCGAAACCATTGAAAAAAACCCAGGAGTGAACAGCTACAGTATATGTATGGTTAATGTGTGTCAGTTACCACTATACATAGCGACAAGAAATGTCCTTGGTAACACTTAATTCAAACAGAAAGGTGAAACATAGTGTTCTCCCAATGAATGAAAATGAATGACCCAGATTGGCCTGCCAGTAACCTACTCTGTGTTGTATTCAGATATTCCTCTCAGCCCAGAGAAGTGGTGCTGGACTGTGGCCCCTACCTGGATAAGAGTGGTCTCTCTCAGTGTCTGCAGGAGGAGCTGAAGGAAGCGCTCCACTTCCTGAACGACTGCAACCTCTGTGTCACCAGAGAGGACCGGGACCCCACCTTCATCTCCAAACAGGTCAGAGCTAGCAAGACTAACTATTGTTTTTAGAATGTATTTCAATTTTTAATCACAGTGCTGTTCGGCCTTATACTTGGCTCCAGTATTGCTTATAGCTTTTTTTGAGAACCGCTTCTAGAAACAACACACTTGACACTGCACTTACTGGGATCCAGACAGACACAGTTGTCGCTGTGGAACACTCAGAGAGACACAAGCTAAAAGAAGATATCATGTGGACACAAACAGAACTCTTAATGTCAAAGTCTGTTGCTCACTAATTGATGTATGTGTAAAAAAGAAAATCTGTTTGCCATCTTCTTTTTAATACTAATACCTAGGGATGCTCCGATCGGGGCTTTTGGGGCCAATCACCGGAATTAGTATCAGCCGATACCGATCATAGGGTGGGTGGGGGCTATGGGGATCTTCCATTTAAAGTGATGTTTAAAACTCAGTTCATGGGGCTCGTTTTTATATTGCTTCAGTTTATAATCGTAACAGATGGAAAAGTTCAGATGAATTTTTCAATACATGATGCGCTTCCACAAACAACAACCAACATAATTATTACATTCAAATGAAGTACATTATTCAAGTTTACATTAACTTTGGATAATAACTCATGACATTTTAAACGAGAGTTGGAGAGTCAGAGCATTGTAAAGGCTGAAAAGATGAGTTACTTTTCTGATATTATTTCTAGTAATTTAAACAAACCGTGTTATTTTTAAAACCATTGATGCTATGTTAAACTCTCCTTTATCCACTTGAATTGAAGCTTCAACTGAGGTGTGTGAACAATTTCTCTGCTATTTTATAGACAAGATCTCCACTATTAGAGCCTGTATCTCACGACCCTCTTTTGACCCCTCCATTGACATCACATGCACTGCTGTCTTCCAGCAGTTTGGACCTGTGTCGTTGTCATCTCTTAGTGACATTGTTGCTAAATTAAAACCCTCATCTTGTCCCACAGACCCAGTCCCTCCTCCACTTTTTAAAGAGATATGGGACACTATTGGATCTAATGTCCATTGTCCATACAATTATAAATAGCAGCCTAGAGTCCGGTTCCGTGCCAGTTTATTTCAAACAAGCGGTTGTGGCACCCCTGATTAATAAAAAAAAAAAAAAAAAAAAAAAAAAAAAAAATAAATCTGGACACTTCTGTCTTCTCCAATTACAAACCCATCTCGAAGCTTCCTTTTATTTCAAAAATATTGGAGAAAACCGTACTCTTACAGCTGCAGTCTTTTATACATGCACACAATATTTTTGACATGTTTCAGTCCGGTTTTAAAGCGCTTCACAGTACTGAGTCTGCCCTTCTAACGGCCCGTCCACACCGCGGCGTGCGTTGAAGCTTGCCAGCGGGCGTCTCTGAAACTAATCACCAATCTAACAACCAATCACATGAATCTCCCGCCCCTGACACACAAGCAGCGGTTTGATTGGCTAGAGCTTGTACTTGCATATGATTCGATTGGCTGACGTTTCTGCCGAGGCTTCAGAAGTTGAACATTGCTCAACTTTTGCAGCGAGCCACGCCAGCAAAGCTTCGCTTCGCTTCCCACAATGCAGTTCAGCGAAAAATAACGTCACCCCATTCAAAGTGAATGGTGAAGCTTTCAACGCACGACGCTGTGTGGACGGGCCGTAAGAATATTCAATGACCTCCTGGTCACTACAGACTCTGGTGACTGCCATCCTTATGCTCTTAGACCTCACAGCTGCCTTCAATATGATTGACCACTCCATCTTTATCTCTGGTCTAGAGCACTGTGTGGGTATCAGTGGCATTGCCTTAGAGTGGTTCAGGTCCTATCTGTCCCAGAGATCCTTCTCTGTTAGGCTTGGTGACTTTACATTGTCTTCTGCCCCCCTATCCTGTGGAGTTCCCCAAGGTTCTATTTTGCGGCCCATTTTATTTTCTGTATACCTTTTCCCCCTTGGACTGATTTTTAGAAAACATGGCGGCTCCTACCACCTTTATGCGGACGACTCCCAAATATACCTTCCCCTAAAACAAAACACCAGCTCTCTGATGCCCCTGGTTGACTGTCTTAATGACATAAAGGCCTGGATGGCACTAAACATTTAAACATAAATTAGAGCAAAACGGAGGTCATTGTGTTTGGACCAAATGGTGATGTCCCTTCCATTGACCTGGGTTCCCTGCAACCATATGCAAAACCCATGGTCACTAATCTGGGCGTCAAAATTGACAGTGCTTTTAAATGAGAAACAGATAAACTCTGTGGTTGAGTCCAGTTTTTATCACTTGAGGCTCCTGTCCAAAATCAAACCGGTTTCATCCTTTTTAGACTTTGAGCGTGTAATTCATTCCTTTTTGTTTCTACTCGTCTAGATTACTGTAATTCACTTTATTCCGGCAAGACTAAACAAGACTTCGCTGGCCCGCCTGCAGCTTGTACAAAATGCTGCGGCTCGGATGCTTACAGGAACCCGCAAGCATGAGCACATCACACCAATTCTGGCTTCCCTCCACTGGCTTCCTGTCCATTTTAGAGTTCATTTTAAGATTCTGTTTGTTTTTAAATCGCTTAATGGGCTGGCCCCTCTGTACATCTCCAACCTCCTAAAGGTGTACACCCCCTCAAGGGCTTTGAGGTCGGCTGATCAGCTGCTGCTGGTAGTCCCTAAAACCAAGAGCATTCCTAACTGGAGAGATGTTGTTTTGTCATAACTGTGTCTGGGCAAGCTACTGCCATGCAGCAATGACCCTTTAGAGGGCAGATAGGGACTGTTACCCAGGTGCTCAATTTAGATCCTGTTTCTTCCAGTCAATAAGCAGTTCATCAGTTCATATAAATGTCTCTGTCCATATCAGGTCCTGGGTGACTTCCTGGCCGTGCTCATGGTTTTAGGGCCCTGGTGTGCAGATAAGGCCGCAGGCATCATGGTGCGCGAGATACAGAAGTACATCAAACACGAGCAGGAGGAGCTCAGCCGCAAGTTCCTGCTCTTCACCGACACCATCCTGCGCAAAGTGCACGCCCTGTGCGAAGAGCACTTCTCCCCGGCCTCCCTGGACCTCAAGTTCGTCACCCCCAAGGTCCTCCGGCTGCTGGAGATCCTGCACGAGTACAAGCCCTTTGAGCGGCAGCAGTTCGAAAGCGTTGAGTGGTACAATAACCGAAACCAGGACGACTACGTCTCATGGAGCGACTCTGAGGATGAAGATGAGGATGAGGAGGTGGAGGTCAAAGAGAGGCCTGAAACCAACTTTCCCTCGCCGTTCACCAACATCCTTTGTGGGATCATCTTCGTGGAGAGGCGCTACACGGCTGTCGTCCTCAACCGGTAGGCTGGCAACCACTTCACACATAGTGATGTCAACTAAAGACAATGAAATGTTTCTGTTTATAATAACTGTTGCATGTGTTTGTTGGTAGCTCTTAGTGTGAAGTGAATCGCCCTTATTTTTGCACCCTGTTCAATACATTATTTATAATCAATAACTCAGAAGTCCACTGTGAGTACTCATGGATTAGGGATAATATGCTGTTGGGGTCTTTTCTACAATGACCGGCCTCGCTGCATATTATCCTGCTTTTAACACGGCTACTTGCCAAATAAATCATCAATTTGACACAACATATTGATTTAAAAATGATTATTTTGCTTCAGCTAAGCAAAGTAGTCTGTTCTATTGCAAAACAACAGCTGAAACTGCGGCAACGGCAACTTAACTTAAAATGACAGCAGCACTGATGGAGGTTTTCAGTAACTGTCCAAGTCTGGACATGTTTTATTTCAATGAGCAAGTCTTAAAACAATGCCAGAGCCAATACCCTGTTCCCTTTAGTGTTTACTTCCTGTCTGTCTCCTTCTGCCGTTCCCTTTAGTGTTTACTTCCTGTCTGTCTCCTTCTGCCGTTCCCTTTGGTGTTTACTTCCTGTCTGTCTCCTTCTGCTGTTCCCTTGAGTGTTTACTTCCTGTCTGTCTCCTTCTGCCGTTCCCTTTAGTGTTTACTTCCTGTCTGTCTCCTTCTGCTGTTCCCTTTAGTGTTTACTTCCTGTCTGTCTCCTTCTGCTGTTCCCTTTGGTGTTTACTTCCTGTCTGTCTCCTTCTGCTGTTCCCTTTAGTGTTTACTTCCTGTCTGTCTCCTTCTGCCGTTCCCTTTAGTGTTTACTTCCTGTCTGTCTCCTTCTGCTGTTCCATTTAGTGTCTACTCCCTGTCTGTCTCCTTCTGCCGTTTCCTTTAGTGTTTACTTCCTGTCTCTCTCCTTCTGCCGTTCCCTTTAGTGTTTACTTCCTGTCTCTCTCCTTCTGCCGTTCCCTTTAGTGTTTACTTCCTGTCTGTCTCCTTCTGCCGTTCCCTTTAGTGTCTACTTCCTGTCTGTCTCCTGCTGTTCCCTTTAGTGTCTACTTCCTGTCTGTCTCCTTCTGCTGTTCCCTTTAGTGTCTCCTTCTGCCGTTCCCTTTAGTGTCTCCTTCTGCTGTTCCCTTTAGTGTCTACTTCCTGTCTGTCTCCTTCTGCTGTTCTGTTGAACTCTCTGACGTCCAACTCTCTGTTCAGTTGTATTCACTGTGGATAGTTTAGCCATCATGAATCCAACGTTTTGTACATATATATAAATGAATATTTAAGAAGTATTCCAAAGTGTTTTCTGATGGATAAATGGCAAATGAATATGTTTTTGTGGCTTCTTTCTGTGTATTGAATAATGATCAGTGCCCTTTGAGGAGCAGTCTGCTTTTGAAAAAGAGCAGATATTTGTTAAGAGCAGAGTATTTCCCATGTTTTGAGAATGCCAGTGCATCTTAGAGAAACTTCAACATGTATGTCTGTGTTCCTCCCTCAGTCTGATCAAAGAGGCGGGGAAGCTGGACCCGGAGCTGGCTTACATCAGCAGCAACTTCATCACCGGCCACAGCATCGGCAAGAACCAGCCACGCAACAAGCAGATGGAGGTGGAGTTCAGGAAGCAAGAGGAGGTATATATGCTCATATGATTCACACTGCAGGGGTAGACATTAAGGGCTGGTGGAATTGTATTATCACTGGCCCCACCATTGTAACCACTGGCCCGGAGCATTCGTCCAAAAAAAATCGACTAATAATGAAGAAAATTAACACATTTGTTGCAATAGTAATGTATGCACTAACTACATTACTACTTGTACTACAACATTTGAATCATCAGGTCTTCCTCATTTGCCTCAATTGTTCATATTTGGTTTATTAAAATAATGATATTGTGGTCATTGTTAAAAAATGTCTGCTATTATTATGAGTATTATTTGTATAATGCACTTTCTGCCTTCCTGTCAGAAATGTTAGAAATGTAATGGCTATAGATTAGATTAGAACCTTCATTATCCTAAACTGCTGGGATATTTCCCTATAGCCAATACCTTTTATATTGTCTACTCTTCACTTACTTGTCAGCATAGGTCGGCATTGATGTACAGAGCCGACAGAAGTTAATATTGGCATCATATTGAGAGGCTGACTTCATCTCTGGCTACGCCTCCCTGCAGTCCCTGGATTTCCTTGCTCTCACTGAGACCTGGATTACTCCATTCAACACATCCACCCCAGCAGCTCTCTCCACAGCATATTCCTTCTCCCATACACCCAGACCCACTGGCAGAGGTGGTGGCACTGGTCTCCTGCTCTCTCCCAAATGGAGCTTTTCCCTCTTCAAGCTACCTAACTTCACTCCTTCCACCTTTGAATTCCATGCCGTCACAGTAACCCATCCTATACAATTAACCATTGTTGTTCTCTACCGTCCACCAGGCGCCTTGGGGGACTTCTTGGAGGAATTAGATAATCTCCTCTCACACATCCCTGAAACTGGTCCTCCCGCTGTACTTCTTGGAGACTTCAACCTCCAGACAGGGAAGATAGACGAACTAACATCTCTGTTAACCGCCTTTGCTTTCTCACTGTCTCCTTCCCCACCAACTCATAAAGCTGGCAATGTCCTTGATCTCATATTCTCAAGGAACTGCGCTACTTCTAACCTCTCTGTAAACCCGCTCCACACATCCGATCACTTCTTCATTTCATTCTCTCTACCCCTTTCCAAACATAACAAACTAATCTCTTCTCATCCTGCACCTGTCCGCCGTAACCTTCGTTCCCTCTCCCCCTCTACCTTTGCCTCATCGGTGCTCTCAGCCCTCCCTTCATCTGACTCGTTCCAACTGCTGCCTCCAAACTCTGCTGCAGAAAACTCTCCTCTCTACTCTCTCATCCTCTCTGGACTCTCTCTGTCCTCTCACATCTCGGCAGGCTCGTCAGTCCCCTCCTGCTCCCTGGCTAAATGACGCACTGCATGCTAATAGAACCGTCCTTAGGACAGCAGAGCGGAAACGGTGGAAATTCAAACACCGTGACGACCTCCTAACCTATCAGGCTCTCCTCTCCTCTTTCTCTGCTTCGATCTCTCAGGCAAAAAGCACTTTATTTCAAGATAAGATCCAATCTTCCTATTCCAATCCCAAAAAACTATTTTCCATCTTCTTCACCCTCTTGGACCCTCCCAAAGCCCCTTCCCCCTCCTCCCTTCTGTCAAGCGACTTTGTTATCCACTTTGAAAAAAAGGTTGATATTCGCTCTTCTTTTTCTGACTCACCTTTACTCACCGCTGGGTCACCAGACCCTCCTTCCACCAACACACTAACCTCATTTTCCCCTCTCTCTCCAAGTGAGGTTCTTACCCTCATTACCTCTGCCCGCCCTACCACCTGTCCTCTGGACCCTATCCCTTCAAACCTCCTTCAGACTATCGCTCCTGATATTCTACTGTTTCTCTCCCATTTCATCAACACTTCTCTAACTTCTGGTCACTTTCCAAACAGTCTCAAGGAGGCAAGAGTAAACCCTCTCCTAAAGAAACTCACTCTCAACCCGTCTGATGTTATAAACTATAGGCCTGTCTCTCTACTCCCGTTCCTGTCTAAAACACTTGAACGCGCTGTCTTTAAACAACTCTCCTGTTATCTCTATCAGAACATCCTTCTGGATCCGCACCAGTCTGGTTTCAAGGCAGGTCACTCCACAGAAACTGCTCTCATTGCTGTCACTGAGGAATTGCACACTGCCAAAGCAGCATTACTCACCTCTGTCATCATCCTGTTGGACCTGTCTGCTGCATTCGACACGGTGAACCATCAGATCCTCCTTCACACTCTCCAAAAACTTGGAGTTTCAGGCTCTGCACTTTCCCTCCTCACCTCTTACCTCAAAGACCGTACCTACAGGGTAACTTGGAGAGGGTCTGAGTCCGACCCTTGTCAATTAACTACAGGGGTCCCTCAGGGCTCTGTTCTTGGTCCCCTCCTCTTCTCCCTGTACACAAACTCGCTCGGCTCAGTCATTAGCCCGCATGGTTTTTCATACCACTGCTACGCTGACGACACCCAATTAATTCTGTCCTTCCCCGCTCAGAGACCCAGGTCGTCGCACGCATCTCTGCTTGTCTAGCTGACATCTCTCAGTGGATGTCTGCTCATCACCTCAAGCTCAACCTTGACAAGACTGAGCTGCTCTTCCTTCCAGGAAAAGATTGTCCCACTCTTGACCTGACTATCAACATCGGCACCTCTGTTGTTTCCCCGACTCAGACTGCAAGGAATCTGGGTGTGATCCTAGATAGCAACCTGTCCTTCACTGCAAACATCGCTGCTACAACCCGTTGCTGCAGATACACGCTTTACAACATCAGGAAGATACGTCCCCAGCTGACACAGAAAGCAACGCAGGTTCTGGTCCAGGCTCTCGTCATCTCACGCCTAGACTACTGCAACTCCCTCCTGGCTGGTCTACCTGCATGTGCCATCCGACCTCTGCAGCTCACCCAGAATGCAGCGGCTCATTTGGTCTTCAACTTTCCTAAATTTTCACACTCCGCTCCTCCGCTGCCTTCACTGGCTTCCGGTAACTGCTAGAATCCACTTCAAGACACTGGTACTTGCTTACCGTGCTGCGAATGGATCTGGCCCTTCGTACATCCAGGACATGGTTAAACTGTACACCCCAGCGCATGCACTACGCTCTGCATCAGCCAGACGACTCGCTGCACCCTCGCTGCAAAGGGGACCCAAGTTCCCATCAGCAAAAACACGTGGGTTTGCTATCCTGGCTCCAAAATGGTGGAATGAGCTCCCCATTGACATCAGGACAGCAGAAAGCTTACACACCTTCCTGAAAACTCATCTCTTTTGACTCCACCTCGAGCGATAGATTTATTAACAAAGCACTTATATACTGATAAAGGACTGGCTTATCTATAGCCAGTTGAGTAGCACTTGAAATGTTTGGCTCTATGAAACCTGATGTACTTATATGATTCTGTTTTCTTCAAGGTTATGTCTTCCTGGTCGAATGTACTTATTGTAAGTCGCTTTGGATAAAAGCGTCAGCTAAATGCAATGTAATGTAAAGGTGCAGCCAGTGACGCATCCTAAAACCATGAAGTAAGCTGCTGGTTCCCTCGACAAAAAGCAATGGGATTTCTCCACAGGGTTTTGGAAAATAGCTGAAAATAAGGTTTGTGGAAAACAAACCTGTTTGATAAATGCACGTTTTGTTCAGCCGGATAATCTCCACATGTCTACCCTACTTTTATAATTTTCTAATCATAAATCTAATCGATAGATTATAAAAGGGTTTTAGGATGCGTCACATCACCACTAGAAGCCAACTCCATCGATCAAGCTGGCTAAAACTTTCTCTCCCTCTTCTTCTCATGCTCCCTGTCACTCTCCTTTAACTCCTCCGGTGACTTTCTTTTATTTGAAGATTGTTTTTTGCCCGGTGCTTGGCCGGTTACCGCTGGTATCTAAAACATTTTGGCGAATGGTTAGGTGACGCTAAAGTCTGTAGTGAAGGAGCGCGTTCCCGCACGGGAGCCTGCTCGCACTGCGCTCCGCAGCAAACAGCTGTTTGATTTTCACCCAACAACGACAACCGCCTCACGAAACGCTATGTTTTCTTGATAAACGAAACAATTTAACACAATTGCTAGTCAAAATACCAATACTACAGGACCAATTTTTTTTTTTTAAAGCAATATTTTTAGTGGCCCGAGCGGGCAAGTGGAAAGTACGTTATGCTGGCCTGGGGTGTCTAAATAGGATTTCGGGCCAGCGGGCCATTTATAATGTTGAGCCCTGCACTGTACATAAATATACTGTCATATTTTGATATATGTAGAGTTATCGCGTTTCATTGCAGGACCTAGCTACCACTGAGCTCCCTCACAGATTAGTCACTTTCTAGGGATGCTCCGATCGCCAATTTTGGGGCCGATCGCCGGAATCAGTATCGGCCGATACTGATAGCCGATCCGATCGAGTGGGCGGGGCTTAAATGGAAGATTTAAACATCACTTTAAATCTTCCATTTAAAGTGATGTTTAAAACTCAGTTAATGGGGCTCATTCACTGGAGCTTCCACAAACAACAATCAACTTAATTATTACATTCAAATGATGTACATTATTCAAGTTTACATTCACTTTGGATAATAACACGGGAGAAATGAGCGGAAGCGCTCTCTTTTCCTCTCTCCCTCTCCTGACAGCCCGCAGCTCACTGATCCAGTAATGAGGGACCCGACAGTGAAGAATAAATATATTTATAACTAGTTTAGCTTCTTCCAGAGGTAGATCAAATAGCTAAGTGTGTAAGGTCTAACTCTTAGTATGTATCACAGCGGGTGGAGCTACAGGATTTCTGCTTCACACACGTTGCATATTCCGCTATTTTACTGTCTTTTTCGGACACCTTAAAATAATGCCAGACCGGTGAAGCCATTTTGGCGAGCTTGTTTTGCCGCACACAGAGAAAAGTGTCATGTATTTTACGTCATGCGATCGGCTCTCGCGATCGGCATGTTTACAGAGCACCGATCGATCGGTAGAGAGTGAGTATCGGCCGATCTCGATCGGTAGAGAGTGAGTATCGGCCGATCTCGATCGGTAGAGAGTGAGTATCGGCCGATCTCGATCGGTAGAGAGTGAGTATCGGCCGATCTCGATCGGTAGAGAGTGAGTATCGGCCGATCTCGATCGGTAGAGAGTGAGTATCGGCCGATCTCGATCGGTAGAGAGTGAGTATCGGCCGATCTCGATCGGTAGAGAGTGAGTATCGGCCGATCTCGATCGGTAGAGAGTGAGTATCGGCCGATCTCGATCGGTAGAGAGTGAGTATCGGCCGATCTCGATCGGTAGGGTAGAGAGTGAGTATCGGCCGATCTCGATCGGTAGAGAGTGAGTATCGGCCGATCTCGATCGGTAGAGAGTGAGTATCGGCCGATCTCGATCGGTAGAGAGTGAGTATCGGCCGATCTCGATCGGTAGAGAGTGAGTATCGGCCGATCTCGATCGGTAGAGAGTGAGTATCGGCCGATCTCGATCGTAGAGAGTGAGTATCGGCCGATCTCGATCGGTAGAGAGTGAGTATCGGGCCGATCCGATCGGTAGAGAGTGAGTATCGGCCAGATCTCGATCGGTAGAGAGTGAGTATCGGCCCGATCTCGATCGGTAGAGATTGGAGTGAGGTATCGGCCGATCTCGATCGGTAGAGAGTGAGTATCGGCCGATCTCGATCGGTAGAGAGTGAGTATCGGCCGATCTCGATCGGTAGAGAGTGAGTATCGGCCGATCTCGATCGTAGAGAGTGAGTATCGGACGATCTCGATCGGTAGAGAGTGAGTATCGCCGATCTCGATCGGTAGAGAGTGAGTATCGGCCGATCTCGATCGGTAGAGAGTGAGTATCGGCCGATCTCGATCGGTAGAGAGTGAGTTATCGGCCGATCTCGATCGGTGAGAGTGAGTATCGGCCGATCTCGATCGGTATAGAAGTGAGTATCGGCCGATCTCGATCGGTAGAGAGTGAGTATCGGCCGATCTCGATCGGTAGAGAGTGAGTAGCGGCCGATCTCGATCGGTAGAGAGTGAGTATCGGCCGATCTCGATCGGTAGGAGAGTGAGTATCGGCCGATCCTCGATCGGTAGAGAGTGAGTATCGCCGATCTCGATCGGTAGAGCGAGTGAGTATCGGCCGATCTCGATCGGTTAGAGAGTGAGTATCGGCCGATCTCGATCGGTAGAGAGTGAGTATCGGCCGATCTCGATCGGTAGAGAGTGAGTATCGGCCGATCTCGATCGGTAGAGAGTGAGTATCGGCCGATCTCGATCGGTAGAGAGTGAGTATCGGCCGATTCTCGATCGGTGACCGATCGATCGGAGCATCCCTTTCACTTTCTATTCTTTCCTCTAGGGTTGTAACGATTTTTATTCTGATTCAACAATCGATTGGAAAGAGCTTTCAATTTAGATGATCAGAATCAAAATCAGAATGGGCTATTCTCTCAGTATTTTTATGGTGTTTCAATCCCGCCTACTCCTGTGCCTTAGAAGAAAAAACAACACAGCACATTTCACCGGAGCCTGCAGCTCAAAGACAGAAAAGCACACTACCCTGGAGCATGAACCAAAAAAACATGATAGTGTAACCTCACACAGCCTGCAGCCCAAAGACAGAAAGGTAAAGCTTACCAGTTGCACCTTTTTAGACATCACAAACACTGCCAGAGTTGGAGATGACAGAGAAACAACAGAACTGGAAAATCCTCTAGCTTCCCTGAAGTCACCATACAGCAACATTTTGCTTTAATTCTGATAACACGTCAGTGACGGAACAATAAAGATTTCCTTCACACTTAAAGAAATGAAGTTAAACTCTGTAAACCCAAAGTTTTTCCACCAACAAACTCTCTCTTATGATGTGAAAACCCTCCTGTGGGGCCACACAATAAAAGTAAGCGAAAGAAATTGCAGAAAATCTCCTTAGCCAATCACTAAGAGCCAATGTGTTTATCCAACTGCCAACACTAATGGGCTTGCACATGAGTTGCGCTTCTTGATGGGATTCATAGGTTTGTCCTGTCCCTTCAAGGTAGTGAACATTTACATTTAGTAGTTTAGAAAGCATTTCTTAAAGACTTTCTATTGCTTCGGCTCGCCTGTTTCTCTCACAGGTTCTTCGCAAGTTCCGCGCTCATGAAACCAACCTGCTGATCGCCACCAGCATCGTGGAGGAGGGCGTGGACATCCCAAAGTGTAACCTGGTGGTGCGCTTCGACCTGCCCACAGAGTACCGCTCCTACGTCCAGTCCAAAGGCAGAGCGCGAGCCCCCGTCTCCAACTACATCATGCTGGCTGACAGCGAGAGGACCAGAGGCTTCGAGGAAGATCTCACCACCTACAAGTCCATAGAGAAGGTGACACTTTCTTTAGTCAATGGAGGATTATTTGAATAGTGTTAGGAGAAATGTAGAAGGTTCAATTGTGAAGCTGAATGAGGTAGTGATGATGATATTACTCTTCTGAGCAGATCTTAAGGAACAAGTGCTCCAAGTCGGTGGAGGTAGGTGAGTATGAGCTGGAGCAGGTTCTGGACGATGACAACATCATCCCTCCCTACGTGCTCCGCTCTGAGGATGGAAGCCCCCGGGTCACCGTCAACACGGCCATCGGACACATTAACAGGTCGGTGAAGTCTTCAAATCCTCAATCCATTTAGGAAACGCTCCTAAATCAACTTTTTAAATGTCCTCTCTGCTCTGTTGCTCAGGTATTGTGCTCGGCTGCCCAGCGACCCTTTCACTCACTTAGCCCCGAAGTGCAAAACTGCAGAGAGGCCGGACGCACGCTTCCAGTCCACGCTCTACCTGCCCATCAACTCCCCTCTGAGAGTTCCTCTTAAGGTGAAGAAGAACATCTGCATTTTTAACAGTGTTGGCAATGGTTACAAGGCCTGTGTCCACATAGCAGCTTTTTCTGACCGCCAACTAGTGTTGTCACGATACCAACATTTTGGTTTCGATACCGATTCTTTTTCGATACTTTTCTTTTATTATTTTCATGATCAATACAATTGTAGTTTATCTGTTAAGTGTTTTCTTACAACATGGTCTCTTCTTTATACTTGAGTTTATATGATTTCTTTGATAGTTAACTTTATATTTTATTAACATGTACAGTAATATAAATAATTATTGACAAAATCAATTATTGACGGCGGCGTAGTAATCAGCAGCGAACCGCTTCAACACGTGTATTTCGGTGTATTCACGGCATTCATTTTGTTATTCTACAGTATTGTTGTTTTATAGTTATTTGTTAATGTTACCCAATTTGTGGTCTTTGAAATTGAAAAGGATATCGCATTGTGTTTGTTACTTTCGTTGCAGTTGTATATGTCTTAAGTGTAATTTGGCTTGGCTTCCTATTTATGGGCATGCTTTTATTTTTAAGGAGAGTTAGCGGCGCTGTTGACAGGAAGTTGTTGTTGTTGGTTTGGAAACAACGTGACGGAGATTAACGGAGAAAAGTAATATCTACATATAAAGACGGAGAAAGTAAACAATAACGTGTATGGTTAAGTGTTAGCACCCCCCGAAGAGGCACAAGCTCTTACGTTGATATTGGAGATTTCAATAAATTAAATTTGAGGAAAAAACTGGGAACAAAACGAATATCCGACTAGTACTCAACAAATGAATATTCTGATATTCGGGTACAGCCCTAGTATGTACAGTGGGGCAAACAAGTATTTAGTCAGCCACCAATTGTGCAAGTTCTCCCACATAAAAAGATAAGAGGCCTGTCATTTTCATCCTAGGTACACTTATGTACAACTATGAGAGACAGAATGGGGGGAAAGAATCCAGGAAATCACATTGTAGGATTTTTAATGAATTAATTGGTAAATTCCTCGGTAAAATAAGTATTTGGTCACCTACAAACAAACAAACAAGATTTCTGGCTCTCACAGACCTGTAACTTCTTCTTTAAGAGCCTCCTCTTTCCTCCACTTGTTAACTGTATTAATGGGACCTGTTTGAACTTGTTATCAGTATAAAAGACACCTGTCCACAACCTCAAACAGTCACACTCCAAACTCCACTATGGCCAAGACCAAAGAGTTGTCAAAGGACACCAGAAACAAAATTGTAGACCTGCTCCAGGCTGGGAAGACTGCATCTGCAATAGGTAAGCAGCTTGGTGTGAAGAAATCAACTGTGGGAGCAATTATTAGAAAATGGAAGACATACAAGACCACTGATAATCTCCCTCGATCTGGGGCTCCACGCAAGATCTCACCCCGTGGGGTCAAAATGATCACAAGAACGGTGAGCAAGAATCCCAGAACCACACGGGGGGACCTAGTCAATGACCTGCAGAGAGCTGGGACCAAAGTAACAAAGGCTACCATCAGTAACACACTACGCCGCCAGGGACTCAAATCCTGCAGTGCCAGACGTGTCCCCCTGCTTAAGCCAGTACATGTCCAGGCCCGTCTGAAGTTTGCTAGAGAGCATTTAGATGATCCAGAAGAGGATTGGGAGAATCTCATATGGTCAGATGAAACCAAAATAGAACTTTTTGGTAAAAACTCAACTAGACGTGTTTGGAGGAGAAAGAATGCTGAGTTGCATCCAAAGAACACCATACCTACTGTGAAACATGGGGGTGGAAAAATCATGCTTTGGGGCTGTTTCTCTGCAAAGGGACCAGGACGACTGATCCGTGTAAAGGAAAGAATGAATGGGGCCATGTATCGTGAGATTTTGAGTGACAACCTCCTTCCATCAGCAAGGGCATTGAAGATGAAATGTGGCTGGGTCTTTCAGCATGACAATGATCCCAAACACACCGCCCGGGCAACGAAGGAGTGGCTTCGTAAGAAGCATTTCAAGGTCCTGGAGTGGCCTAGCCAGTCTCCAGATCTCAACCCCATAGAAAATCTTTGGAGGGAGTTGAAAGTCTGTGTTGCCCAGCGACAGCCCCAAAACATCACTGCTCTAGAGGAGATCTGCATGGAGGAATGGGCCAAAATACCAGCAACAGTGTGTGAAAACCTTGTGAAGACTTACAGAAAACGTTTGACCTCTGTCATTGGCAACAAAGGGTATATAACAAAGTATTGAGATGAACTTTTGTTATTGACCAAATACTTATTTTCCACCATAATTTGCAAATAAATTCTTTAAAAATCAGACAATGTGATTTCCTGGATTCTTTCCCCCCATTTTGTCTCTCATAGTTGAGGTATACCTAGGATGAAAATTACAGGCCTCTCATCTTTTTAAGTGGGAGAACTTGCACAATTGGTGGCTGACTAAATACTTTTTTGCCCCACTGTATAAATAAATACTAGTGACAGTGACGTGAGCAGTTATGTGGAGAAAACACCCCAGATGCTTCGCTGTTGTTTCCTGAATGATAACAGGTCGCTTACTGTTGTGACCCGTTATCCCCCGGTATACCCTAGTCAGCGCCCCTAGTTACACCAATCAGCGTGCGATTACCGTACAGCCAATCACAATGCGTGACGTCATTGGTAAGCAACGGACCCCGAACACATATGGTAGGGCGAACACATATGGTACTGACACAGGCACGGCTGCAGTGCAGGGAGTGGAAGCAGAGCGCTGAACACACACGGCTCTTATTAAAATGGCGCTTTCTCACCGGAGTACTTTCCCCCGTCATTCTTAAAGTACCGATACTAATGAAACGGAGGAATCGTAACGTTTTTAACGGTAGGGTATCGCGGTACCTTTCAAGTATCGGTACACCGTGCAACACTACCGCCAACTTGTTTTTTAACGTGGAGTGATAGCATGCTGCACTCGGCTCCTTCTGCCATCAATGCGGCAGTTTCGCATTTCTCCAGTTTGTGTGTATGTCAAAGTACAGTATCTGTGGAGGGTCGCACATTTTAAATCTATTATATCGTCGCCTTTTTACTCTCCTTGATACTAGAACATACATCAGTATTTTCATTGACATTAGACAATGCATATACTTGGTATTATTAATGATACTGTATAATACAGAGCACTTCTATAAATGAATTTTTACTACAGCACTTTCTGACAGGAAAGGTGCCACACAGGGCTTTAGGCCTTGACACTCGATAGATTACATTAGTGCAAACGTATAGATTGTAGTAATAACTGAATCAGGTTCTTCCTTTGATCAATGTGTCACTGTCTTTGCAGGGTCCTATAATGTTCTGTGCCAGGCTGGCAGAGAAAGCAGTTGCACTTCTATGTTGTGAGAAACTCCACAAAATAGGTAAAACCAGAATGAGATTTTTCAGATGCATGATGGGAAACTATTGAATGTGAGCCTGTATAGAACTTTCCCCTGCATCCTCTTCATCTTGTTATGCTGCTTTCTTTACCCCAGGTGAGCTGGATGATCACCTGATGCCGGTGGGAAAGGAGACGGTGAAATATGAAGAGGAGCTGGACCTCCACGATGAAGAGGAGACCAGCGTACCAGGCCGGCCCGGCTCCACCAAGAGGAGGCAGTGCTACCCTAAAGCCGTAAGGAGGCTCCCTCTCTCTCATTGCACACACATTAGCATCTCAAAGCAGAAACCATATTTCTACAGTTCATTTCCATGTTTCTTTATGGGACAATCCCTACATTTCTTTTACTGACTTTTTGGATGGAAAATGTGTATGTTATGTATTTTTAAAAAAAGATGCTCATCATCCTCTACTCTGGTTTGGAAGTTGCAATTATTGAGCAGAAATGTCTAGTAAGAACTAATTCAGAATCTTTGATTTGAGCATAATAACAGATTTCTATTTCCAAATACACATTTAGATACGTGTCACTTTAAGGTCTTAGCATTCATGTTTATCTTCCTATCGCTCTAAAAACATTAGAAATGTTCCAAATGTTTAATGATGTCTATTATTTATGACGTGCTTACTATTTTGTTACAAACAGCGAGCATCCTGTTGAATTGTTCAATGTTTTTCTGCTTCACTTCTCCTCCTCAGATACCCGAGTGTCTGCGGGACAGCTACGCAGTGCCAGAGCAGACGTACTACCTATATGTGGTCGGGATGGTGCTCACCACCCCCCTCCCTGATGAACTCAACTTTCGCAGGAGGAGGCTGTACCCACCGGAGGACACCACCAGGTGCTTCGGCATCCTGACTGCCAAACCCATACCTCGAGTACGTCACCTCCCATTATTCTCTCACATCAGACTCTTAAGGAAAGAAAGAGGTTGTAGATGGTAGCTGATGCTTCTTTTCTGTCCAGATCCCCCATTTCCCAGTGTACACCCGCTCGGGTGAGGTGACCATCTCCATCGAGCTGCAGAAGTCCGGCTTCACGCTGACCACCGCCCAGCTGGACCTCATCACCCGCCTGCACCAGTACATCTTCTCCCACATCCTCCGCCTGGAGAAACCTGCACTGGAGTTCAAGCCCACGCTGGCTGACTCGGCCTACTGCGTTCTACCTCTGAATGTTGGTCAGTACAATCACTCAGTCAAACTTATTGCATTAATCTCCCCTAGGAAGTGGTACTCCAACGTCATACTATGTCATACTATGACGTAATTAAGCCCAATAAGACTTGTTTCCATTGACTTGCATTGGAAACTAGATGTCTGGTAATTAGTGTATTGTATATATGTAGTTTTTTACTACTACTACTTTAATCAACTACTCATGGTTAAATTATTATCATCATCATCATCATCATCATCATCATCATTGTGAGATTAAAGTCGATGGACCTTGTTCTACAGTTTTCGGGCATTTCAGATCCAAGACTATCAGGACTGATACCAGTGTTTCCCGACAGGCGATACGATATGATAATACTTTATTGTCAGATCGAGTCTGACATTTTTCTTGCATCAGAGCAAAATAAATGTGTGGGCTGTTGTCGTATACCTGCTGTAACTTCAGGTGATGCTTCCAGGATAGATGTTGTACCCTTGCTACAGAACCCATTGAGCTGTTGATGGTAGGGCTGCCCCCTAATAGTCAACTAATCACTAGTCGACTAATAAAGTCTAAATCGAGCAATTTTTCATTAGTCGATTAGTTGAAAAAATAAATAATTATATATACAAAAGATAATTATATAAAGAAAGAAAAAAGCTCCATCCGTGCGCTGCATGTGACGCGTCAGCCGGAAACCCCCTCAGACTTCATTCAGAGCGGAGCCTTGTCATTGAGTTAATTTGGTCGGGCAGGAAATCTAAAGTGTGGATCTTTCTGAGCGAGTAAAGGACGAGTCCCACAAGGTGACATGCAAACTACGACGGCAGAAAGTCTCCGCCATATCCACAGCGCAGCTTCCTGAATGCCGGCTTCATAACCAAACACGGAGCTTAATTATCTGACGACGTGTGTTGCTTTCTCAGACTCTGAGGAAAACAGCAGCAGTGAGTCAGGCAGTATCAACATGTATAGACCTATAATATATAATCATTCTGACCTCAGAAAACAATAAAGCTTTCATTTCATGACGAGGGATTTTTGTTCCAACTTGAAGTGTGTGTGTTTTGCTCCGCTCAGCGGTTCGTCACAGTGGACAGAGCTGCAGGTCAGATCATAGAGCTGCATCATGTAGAGCTGCAGGTGATCATGGAGAGCTGCGTGTCTCCGTCAGCAGCGGCTGAACTGCTCTCTGATCTCTCTCTCCCGTCAGATTAGACTTCACTCGCGTTTATGTCCATATCGATCAGATCTAGCTAGTTCTAGCTAATGATATGACTGCCTGCGTATCAAAGGACACCTCCTAAACAATAAGCGTTGCTTGTCAACGGGGTGTGGCGGCAAAGTATAGCGCAACATTAAGCATTTGTTTACATGAGGGGTCAAAATGTCCCCCTCAGGAGGATACATCTCTTTCTCCACATTAAATGTCAGACATTAGAAAGGAAGTGACTGTGCATGTAGCGTATTGACTCTTCTTGTCTGTCACATAAGTGATGCGGTATTGCGCTAAGGGGAAATTATTTTTGACCGGAGAGATTTAGATTTGCCGGTCTTCAGCACATTTGACCGGTTATAGTCCGGTAATTACCGGCATACGGAAACTCTGGTTGTTTTAGTCAGATATGAATAACAGAAGCTAGCTCTAAATGTGTGTGTTCTCGCTGCTTGTTCACACAATAAGAATCCTTACCGGAGCTTCTGCTGTTTATACCGCTGCGTTCGTGCGCTGTGACTACATTTCATTTATATTTCAAAGGTTCATTATTAGTTTTATTTTATGTGAAGCACAACGTACCATGCTGTTATAATATCACTCTATCAGCCTTTGAAGAAGTAAATAAAAATAATAATATATCTTTATAATCATAATGTATCATAAACGTGTGGCGATTAGTAGACTAATCGCTTTAATTGACGACTATTGGTCGACTAGAAAAATGTTTAGTCGAGGGCAGCCCTAGTTGATGGTGTCCAAACATTGAAGGTCCAGGTTTTGGAGCCGTGCAAAAGGATGGTCTCGATGGTTGTCCTGAACACATTGAGTTTCATTGTGTTCAGCAGATCAGAAGCCATATTTAAATCATCAGGTCCTAGAAGTTGAAATATGTGCTAAAAGCTGAATCCAAAGTTTATTGTCCTCTCTATTCATTTGACTGAGCCGAGAACGGCCAATACGCTACTGTGAACGAGCAGATTGGAGGCGGGGCTTACAGAAAATGCTAGTGCGCATGCTCTATGGGCCCGGATCCAGGGAAGGTCTGATATTTTTGTTCTCGATAGTTGGCCCATTTTGACTTAAAGTGCCACTGAGCAACTGTCATTGGAATAAATGGGTTCCCTTTACCTTCGTGGTGAAGATGTTTATTTGTTACCTTAGCCCAGGGGTCTGCAACCTTTTTGACCAAAAGAGCCATTTTGACCCCTTTTCCACCAATTGCTTTTGTCTGGAGCCGCAAAAACACATTTGATAGCTTATAAAGTTGTATATATTGTTACATCATAGACAACAACTACAGTTTTTTTGCATTTATTACATTATAGAAAACTGTTTACCTCTAATAAGAAACAAATAACTCATATAAGGAGAATTAAAAAAAAATACACCGGCCTACTTTAAAATAAATTAAACACAGCACTTAGGGAGTCCTCTGCATATTTGAAGAAAATGAATATAATTAAAATGGATCCACTTTGAAATCAATAAAACATATAGCTGCACCCTAAAAAGAGTTAACTGATGGAATGATGACTGAAGATCGTCAGCTGTCTTCCTCTTCCGTGTGTTTCCTCCAATACGTAAAGGCTGCTGCACCTTTGACAACTTCTCTCCACATATCAAACATCCCGGTGAGCCAGCATCGTTTGCTCTGAAAGCAGATAACTCTAACCACGCAGAATTAAACCCTGTGTTCCTCCGGTACTTTTCTTTTCTTTGATTTATCCATAGTTCGCTCATCGAGCCGGGGGTCAGGTTATTCGCCTGCAGGAAAAGGCGCTGGTGCGGGACCGTAGCAGGATGTGACGCATATTATAATTGACCTAATTAAAACAGTTTTTTTTATTATTTATGTGTCACAGTATCACCTCAAAATACATTTTCAACCATGCAACAAAATATAAATAGTCCTACAAATATTTGTATTTTATTTCCTTCTTATTTTGGTCTAAGCTCAAGGGAGCCAGAGCAGAGGGCTTAAAGAGCCGACCCCTGCCTTAAACCATCCTCTCTCTCTGCTGCTCATTCAGTTGAGGACTCCAACACACTAGACATGGACTTTTCCTTCATGGAGGACATTGAGAAGTCTGAGGCCCGCACCGGCATTCCTACCACTCAGTACACCAAGCAGAACCCCTTCAGCTTCAAGCTGGAGGACTACCAGGATGCTGTCATCATTCCACGGTACCACTGCGCCATGTGAACCTTCAAACCACTTTTACTATGCTTACGATGTCTGAGCGCCACAATGACTCCCTGCTCCCCCCCCCAGGTATCGTAACTTTGACCAACCGCATCGCTTCTATGTCGCCGACGTGTACACAGACCTGACGCCGCTCAGCAAGTTTCCCTCTCCAGAGTACGAGACGTTTGCTGAGTACTACAAAACCAAGTACAACCTGGACCTGTCCAACCTGAACCAGCCGCTCCTGGATGTGGACCACACCTCCTCCAGGTAGCAGCACAGGCTCTCCACTCATTAGTTTGCTCTATTTGCTATTTTAACTGATAGGAATTTTCAAAAGCTCAAGGTTAATTCTTATAGTTTTGTCATTTGTCCTGAGTCTGTGCAAGAGAACAGGTTTAACAAAGGGTCTCAAAGGAGAACACACATTTTTCACATCCAAGTGTGCTTCAAGATGTTTGAGAATTCTAATTAAATGAATTTGAAGTAGTACAACAGGGGTGCCCGGGGTGCCAATGGCCCACAGCCAATTCTAAAAGTATAATGGAATTTGGCCCACACATGGAACTTGTGCTTGACTATATTATACATCTTAAATATATGAAAATATGTTACATAGTATTCCTGTGTTAATAAGCCCACTTTTCAAACCTCTAGTGAGGGGCCCAGCCCTTCGTATATTTGTCTGTATGTGGCCCTCATTGAAAAATGTTTGGACACCCCTGTAGAAAAGTAGTATAGCGCCTTTTGGGCCCAGAGAGAGAGATGTATTGAGTATGAGAAATTGCCTCAAATGATGTCGCTTGAGGCAGCTTTGGTCGGGACTAAAGTGGTCATGTTTAAAAAGTAAAGTATGTGGGGTTGTAAAGTTAGAAAGTAGTGTTCTTACAGAGATCTGCTGCTGGAAACATTGCCTGCTACTATCTTAACACCAGAATTGAACTGATCCAGTCCTGTTTCATTGTGGGTGATTATGGTCAGAATCCAAGTAATACAAAAGCTCACTTTTTTGTATAAATGTCCAATGTTAGAGATTTTCAGAATATTTTTGATACAATATTTCGATTTAGCAAAGGTCACATTTGAAAGCAAAGTGATATCAAGTCCCAGTGTAATGACTGCACCTTGTCCATGACCATTATTTTGGTCATGTTCCCTCTGCTCTCAGACTGAACCTGTTAACCCCTCGGCACCTGAACCAGAAAGGCAAAGCTCTGCCGCTCAGCAGCGCAGAGAAGAGGAAGGCCAAGTGGGAGAGTCTGCAGAACAAACAGGTACTAAAACAGAGCCCCCCCATTCATTTCAGTGATGCCACTAGGAGGTCCAGGAACAGGAGTCCGGCTCTCGTACCAAAAGTTGGTAAAACTCAGGCACCAACAATCTGATTGGCCAGCACCAAGAACTGAGAAAGAATTATTTTATTATTTGAATAAAAAATATATTATGAACATAGCAGCTTAAGGTAAAATGTCCAATCAAATGTTAAATAGAATTAAAAAAAAAAGCATATAATTATAGGAAATTCAAGTTCCAATATGCACATCTACACAATCTCCTTATATGCATGTTTATTACAGTGTATACATTGGAGTAGTACTAATAATATATGAATGCTTAACTGCACAGTTTAAAAATGTTTGACTGCTGGTGATGAAGTAAGACCATTGTCTCAGAGTGCCTGATTTCAAAGATTTACTTTTTATTACTTGTATTCATTTTCATGATTGACATTTTTGAACAAACGCTATTATGGATTGATCATGACTCGTATTGAACTGCAATGAAAACCATCTAGAAGCCAATGACGTCCTGGTATAATTCTTAAATATTAGACATGAGCTTCCACACTCTGAGCTGCAGCAGTGTAACATTGCATTGTGTCTGTCAGATCCTGGTTCCAGAGCTGTGTGCCATCCACCCCATCCCCGCCTCTCTGTGGAGGAAAGCTGTGTGCCTGCCCAGCATCCTGTACCGCCTCCACTGCCTGCTGACTGCAGAGGAGCTGCGGGCCCAGACCGCCAGTGAGGCTGGAGTGGGGGCTCAGACCCTCCCCCCCGACTTCAGGTCTGGTTTTACCCACTAAACCACATAAACACAGGATCAGTGCTTAACAACAGCGAGACATTGTCAGTTATTCCATTTTATTTTCTCTACTGTAGCACTAACACTGCACACGACACGCCCTGCTTATTCTCTCACAGTGATAGACTGCAACAAATGAAGTATGCTGCCCTTTGCTCCTGGGCAGACGCTAAATCTGTAATGGTGCGTTTGGAGCAGACGCTCAACTGATTCTCGCAGGAGAGGAGGACAACACGTGTCATCATCCATGGCAAAAAACATGTAGTCTCATGTCTTCCGAGCGTCTTGCTTCAGAAGCGAGGCCAGAATACTTCCTAGCATTCGGAAAACGAAGAGTGGAACAGGCGAGCAAGTGTGCAGGTGTGCGTCATATGAGAGGCCCCGCCTTACATTTTCCGCCACAGATTTGGGGAAATTGGTCCGTGCGCAAAGCATTGTGGGGATTCTAAGACCGGAGTCTACACATGTGCAGCCTCGAAATTTCCCCAAACGAAGTACGCCGGGCTCGGTAGATTTCCAAGTATGCTGGACATTGGAACAGTCCTTCGGCGGCACTCCATGAAGTAGTATGCTTGAAATAGTGGCTCTGGAGCAGCTTTACTCGACATTGAGAAACACCCCCAGTCTCTAGCATGTCAAAAGTGGGCTGAACCAATTTTTTGTATTACAGTGGTAAAAATAAACCAAATTGACATATTTTGCCGTGATTTTATTTAAAAAATGTTTCTTGAGGATGCCTAAATAACAACATACTGATATGAAATAGTTAAAAGCCTGAGTTATTTCTTAGTCAGTGTCTGTCCGCATGACAACAAGCCAAAATCTTTTTAAATGATGATTGGTTCTATCATGGCTAGGCTAAACTTCCATTCTAGCTTCTCTGTCCACTCAAAATAAGGTAATGTGACATAAATTAAGCAACATCTTTTTTTCTCATGCCATAGACAACAGTGTGTCCCCTATATACATTCGGGGCGCCAGCCAGGTACCAACAAAAAAAAAAGTATTTTAATTATAATTATTTTTATACATTAAAATAATAATACGTGGCGCTCGCCTCATCGCCACGGAGGAGCACACAGCCTCTGTGAGCGAGAGAGAGCTAGAGAGATCACACCTTTATCTATTTAATATAGTTGTAAGAAATCTGTCTAAAGCAGACCCTTCACGCGATAGCGAGGGATCGCAGATGCCGTCGTGCTCGCAGATGCCGTCGTGCTCGCAGATGCCGTCGTGCTCGCAGACATTATACTATGTGTGGGAGACCCTGCTATCTCACCAGTTCGTTTATGCATAAATAAAAAGAAAGAATGCCAACTAGGTAACATAAGGTAAGAATAAACAAGTTTAAATGATTTATTATTGGTTGTGATCATATTTTAAAGATGTTTGGATTATTGAAAAGTATACAGCTCTCTTTCATCTGAGTGTTGAGAGCTGTATCTATAAATTCATGTTGTGCTCAAAGTGCACCAGATTGATGCATTTCACTTCAACATTTAAAAACACATCTTCCTGGGGGTGCATGCCCCCGGACCCCCTTAGAGGAGGTGAGGTCCACCCCCAAATAAAGCAGGTTAAAATAATTTTGTTTGTTATGTGGATGTGTAGTATTTGTGTTACAGTACGTTCAATAAAGGTGATTTAGCAAAACACACCTGTAGCGCCTCAAGAGCCTTTCTTGTGCTGGCAGACACATAGAAACAAATTGGCGGGGCGCACTTCGCACGCGCACACACAAAAAAATTCCACGCGCTCCGCGCTCACATTATGCTGGGCCCGCGTGCCTTAGCACCGCTGCTATGACTCCATCCTAGGGGAAACACTGGACAGTGTTTTGTTTATACGCATTCACTATTAAACTTTGATTTCTTTCCAGTCTGTAGGAATATGAGGAAGTGTAGAGCTTTGATGTTTTGTTTTCTGTTTCAACGTTTGTACATCATTGATGACGGGAGGAGCATGTCATCACTGATAGGATGCTGATATGAGAAATGATATGTTATAGAAATGACATAGTTCAGCCTCTTCAGATATTGATCCAAACATTCTTTTGTGGTTGTTGTTTATTTGGCAGGTATCCGAACCTGGACTTTGGCTGGAAGCGATCCATCGACAGCAAGACGTTCATCTCCTGCGCTGACTCCTGCAGTGATGATGATGATGATGAGAATGAGGGTGAGGGTCCCTGTGAGCACCAAGAGACTCTAACCCCTGAACCCAACTCCCTAGCGCGTCCCAGCAGTCCCCACCCCCTCGTGGACCCTGAACCTGAAGAAGAGCCCTGCACCAGGACCCTAACCAACGGCACGGCCCTCGGCACCAACTGTGATGACGACGGCCCCCAAGACGAGCACCTTCACCAACAAGACAACTGCCAACGTTCCCGGCCCCGCTCCCCTGGGCCGCAGAGCCCCCAATCAATACAAAGCACTACCTCACTTCCTGTGCAGCCCCCCCCTCCCAGCTCCAAGAAGCCCAGCTCCAGTCCTCCGCAGCCCAGTGACGAATGTACGCCAGGGAGCACCTCAAATCCAGCTACCTCAGTCTGCTGCCTGCCGGCTCCCACAGCACCTTCTGATCAGCACGGAGCCCCGGCAGGAGACCCCCTCAAAAGCCTGGGGCCCAACCCTGGTCTCATCCTGCAGGCGCTGACCCTCTCCAACGCCAGCGACGGCTTCAACCTGGAGCGCCTCGAGATGCTCGGAGATTCTTTCCTCAAACACGCCATCACCACGTACCTGTTCTGCACCTACCCCGACGCACACGAGGGCCGCCTCAGCTACATGCGCAGCAAGAAGGTCAGTTACAATACAGCGTTATCTGTAAAGCACCTAACAACAAACACACAGCTCAGCTCACAAACCATACAATAAGTACAAATACAAATAAACAAGAATAAAACAGCCATGAAGTAAAAACAATAGACCATTTAATAGCAACAATCTACAAAGTGTTGAACGCTTTATCACGTCGATCATGTATCATAGGTGCAATGACTGGAGTGTTGCAGGAATGAGTCCTAAAACCTAGAAATGAGTCCCTTGTCTTGAGGTCAGCCATGTTTTTGGTTGTTAGTCTGAAATAAGGTCTGTGGTTAACACAAGCTGAAGAGATTTCACGTTTTGTTCTACAACATCAAAGGCTTATTTTTTTGATGTGTCGAAAACATTTTGGTTTCCACTGACTTTAGATGTATATATCTGGTGATTGCATTTAGGCTTCAAGGATCGTAACGTGGTGTTAATATGTGGATATTATCCTGTTGAACAAAACGTGCAAGTATCATAAACCTGTTTGCCACAGATTACATTTTCTGCAATAATCCAATGGAAACATCTCATTGCTTTTTGACAATGTGACGTCCAGGGATTGGCCTAAAAACACATTCACTGCACATTAGGACATTTGGCAAAACTTCTCTTTAACTGACTCAAAATGTCACAGGAACTCTTTTGAAAACTCTTGACATGTTAAGGTATAATTACAAACCGATACACAACGGACATCCTACCTCATAAATGGGGAGAAATAGAGGGTGGAGACAAAAGCAATCCATCTTAGTATGCTAGATTAAGACTGTCTAGATCAGGGGTCACCAACCTTTTTTAGGATGAGAGCTACTTTCAAAAAATAAAACAAGTCGGGGGCTGCTTTTACTCCTCTTTTTTGTTGTTTTTTGCAGTGTGTATATTTAGCACATTTGAACATTATTATATGCTTATCTTTAACCTTTGTGCTGTTTGGGTCTGTGGGACCCGTTTTCAGTGTTTACTAAAATAACATGCCATTTAATTATTTTAACCTGCTTTATTTGGGGGTGGATGGGCCTCACCTCCTCTAGGGGGGGCCTCACCTCCTCTAGGGGGTCCTCACCTCCTCTAGGGGGGGCCTCACCTCCTCTAGGGGGGGCCTCACCTCCTCTAGGGGGTCCTCACCTCCTCTAGGGGGGGCCTCACCTCCTCTAGGGGGTCCTCACCTCCTCTAGGGGGTCCTCACCTCCTCTAGGGGGGCCTCACCTCCTCTAGGGGGTCCTCACCTCCTCTAGGGGGGGCCTCACATCCTCTAGGGGGTCCTCACCTCCTCTAGGGGGGGCCTCACATCCTCTAGGGGGGACCTCACCTCCTCTAGGGGGTCCTCACCTCCTCTAGGGGGGTCCGCGGGCATGCAACCCCGGGAAGATTTTTTTTAAGATGTTGAAGTGAAATGCATCAATCTGGTGCACTTTGAGCACAAAATGAATCTATGGATACAGCTCTCAACACTCATGAAAGGCAGCTGTATACTTTTCAATAATCCAAACATCTTTAGAATATGATCACAACCAATAACAAATCATTTAAACTTGTTTATTCTTATCTATTTTTATTTATGCATATTTTACTAATCACTCCCCTTTTAAACTGTTTTTTGTACTGTCCTATTGTACACATTGGAATGATTTCTTACTTTATCTATATTAAATAGATAAAGGGGTGCTTTCTCTCACACACACACACACGCACACACACACGCACACACAGGCTGTGTGCTCCTCCGTGGAAAACGGGATTTCGAAAAGTGCTGGGGACATGTCCCCCCTGGAGATTACGCCATGCGTGTGTGTGCGTCAAGTGGAATAAATATATGCAAGTTGCAACACACAGAGTAAAACTATGGCCCTCATGTGTTGTATAGGCTGGCATGATGGGCTGTTCAATGGGGCTGATGTGTAGATTCTACCAGAAGGAAAATCAGCGGGGAGATGCCACATTGCTTTTCTTCCCGACTGCAACGCTGGTCCATGGATGTATAATAAGAACGCGCTGGTCCCGCAAATCAAGCAAGAACGTGATTGGTCGATATTCATTGTGGGGGTGGGGGGAGGAGGGGTGTTAGATATAGAGTTGTAGTAAGTAGATAGAGTTCGCTATGATTTAGGTTTCGTTTATGCATGTGGTAGATTCTTTTAATTACATTTCCTTTTTTGTTTTGTGTATTTTATACATTTTGGATTTTCTTGGCGAGCTATTTTTAGAACGTACCCGGCGGGCGCCTCACGTTGCCCCTGCGGGCGACTGAGTGCCCGCGGGCACCGTGTTGGCTACCCCTGGTCTAGTAGATCACAGTTCACAGTTTTACATTTTAAACCCCAATGTAAATAAGAAAATATAAACTACTTTTCAAATGTTCAAATATGTTGTCGATTTGAACATTACCCACTTTTCTGCTTTTAGTCAGTCCTTGTACGTGAATGTAATAGTCTTTCTAATCTTATTACATATTTGAACATCCTTACAGACCCTGAGTTTCCTATTCACTGAAACATGTAGCATGTTGTCAGTGAATAACCTTTACCCTGTAACATGTCCATCCAGGTGAGCAACTGTAACCTGTACCGCCTGGGGAAGAAGAAGGGCCTCCCCAGCAGGATGGTGGTGTCCATCTTCGACCCCCCCGTCAACTGGCTGCCCCCCGGATACGTGGTGAACCAGGACAAGAGCTGCACAGACATACTGGACTCAGAGGAGGTCAGTGCACACTTTCTCTCTCTTTCTTTATACTTACTGAAACATTTAAATTAAATAAAACTAGGGATGCTCCGATCGATCGCCGCTGAACGATATCGGCCGATACTCACTCTGCCGATCGATCGGTGCTCTCTAAAAATGACAATAAAATAGCGGTATGCAACGTGTGTGAAGCAGAAATCCTGCAGCTCCACCCGCTGTGACACACACTAAGAGTTAGACCTAACACACTTATTACTATTATTACTATTTGATCTACCTCTGGAACAAGCTAAACTAGTTATAAATATATTCTTCACTGTCGGGTCACTCATTACTAGGGTTGGGTACCGAGTAGTTCCAACATTTCGATTCCAATGGCATCATTTAGACATGTGAATTTCGGTTCCGCTTTTCGCCTGAGGAAATGTTTCTCGCCGCTCTCCGTAGCCTACGGAGACTGACTGACTGACTGCGGCGGGGCGGGAAATGTAGCGTTGTACCTACACTTCCTACAGCGTAACCTGGGACCAGGGCCGGCCCGTCGCACTGGCGTTATAGATGTTCGCCTAGGGCGCCAGATCTGTGGAGGCGCTGCGCTGGTAGCTCTGGGAGAAAAAAATAATAATTTTGACCGTTGGGGCTCATCCTAATTTGCGGCCTTGATGTAACAACATTCATAATTAAGTAAATGTAACACCCTTTTCATCCCGGTTACACTTTTCATTTGCCCTGTACGATGGGCGCTGCAAGTGATGAAAATGGGGGATGTTGGCTTATCTGGCGCCCGCAGCTCACAGCCAAAGTGAAAGCGTGGGAGCGAGGGAGAAAGGGAGGGCGCTGTTGTTATTAGCATCTGGTGCTAGCTGCTCTAACGGATAATAGAAGAAGATGTTTCTACAATAATGTGGAGGAGAGTCCTCTCCAGTCAGACTGAGAGGCTGATAACTACAGCTCAGTGAGGTAAAGGACTCTGAGTGTTTAGATAGTTCACTTTAGTCTAAGTTATCTCAGTGGGTCTCAAACGTTTTGATCACAATTTATGTAAGCACATATTTCCAAGGCACTCCTTTATAATTATTGGGATAAAACAGGTTTGAAATCATTCCAATGTATACTATATACAGTAAACCAGACATATCGTTTTAAACTGGAGAGATAAAAAAATATGCATCAATAAAATAGTAAAATAAGATATGAATGAACAACAAAAATAAAATACGTATTTGTTATTGGCTATGGTAGGTTATTGGTTATGTTAACATACTTATTTAATTATTAAAATGTAAACCAATCTTTGTCATATGGGTGTTTAGATTGTCCCCTAGATCTAGTCTCTAGTAATTCTGCTTAAAGTGCACCAGATTGAAGCATTTTACTTTGAAGAAATGTTCAAACATTTCTTCCCGGTATGCCTGAGAAGGCAGATATGCTTGTTTTTCTCAACAAGAACTGTTTTTAAATGGGGGGGGGGGGGGGTTCCTTTAAAAGTTGGACTGTTGCACTGTTGTAGCTTCAGTGGTTCTCAGGTTACAGTTACATAGCAGTGAATATAAACAGACTGATTAATGTGAATATTACTGTAAACTAACCTGTGTAAAAGTTTCTCGAATAAATGTAATTTTTTTGGTGGAAGAAGCATGTATCATTTTTTTACCTTGCCCCTCAAAGAATCGGAATTGAGAACCGGAATCGAAAAGTAGAATCAGAATTGTGGAAATTCAAACGATACCCAACCCTACTCATTAATGGATCAGTGAGCTGCATGAGATACTGACGGGCTTTCAGGAGAGAGAGAGAGGAAAAGAGAGCGCTTCCGCTCATTTCTCCCATGTTATTATCCAAAGTGAATGTAAAATTGAATAATGTACTTCATTTGAATGTAATAATTATGTTGGTTGTTGTTTGTGGAAGCGCCAGTGAATGAGCCCCATTAACTGAGCCCCATTAACTGAGTTTTATGCCCCGGCCACACGAGGACGAAAACGGTCGTTTGTGTTACTGCTTAGTGTCATATAGACCGTTCGGCCACACGAGGACAACCGAATACGGCACTAAACGACTGCGGAAACGATAACGGGTCCCAAGGTGGATAGAACGACATACGCAACGCTCTGGGGGGTCCAACGGCTCCGTGTGTACGCCCTATACGATCATTTTCTGATAATGATGAGGCAATAGCCCCGCCTCTCCCCACCTCTGCTGCTCACAAAGTAAACTGCACACTGAATTCAGATTATTTATCTTTCTCTCGATATGGACATAAATGCGAGTGAAGTCTAATCTGACAGGACGGAGACACCTCTCAAACTACCTAAACTAGTTATAAATATGTTTATTTTTACTGTTGGCCGGGTCACTCATTACTGGATCAGCTGCTGCATGAAACAGACACTGGCGCTGTCCAAAGAGAGGGAGGAAAAAGAGAGGCTCCGTGTATTTTATTATTATATTATATAGAGTCGTTATTCATTTGTTTTAAAGCTCAATAAATAACAAAGAAGACCTTTGACCGGCACTTTTATAATTTTGTCGGAAGATTTAAACTTTAATACACGTTGACTGGCGAAAAACTCTGCCCGGTTCCCTCGGCCCCCACCGCGGAGAATAAAAAGAAGGGCAACCATGACAACCATGCTTCTTCGCTGCTTTTGTGGAGGAAGTTACAGCGCTACGTACAGGCTCCTGCATATGTACTGCAGCTTCTCCAGCGGTTGGAGCTAAACGGAGCTGTCTCGTGTGGACAGACACTATCCGGATGACTATTGCGTGTGGACGGAAGCTTTTTTGCGTTTGCGTTAATCCTATGCGTTTAGCCGTTTTCGTCCTCGTGTGGCCGGGGCATTAAACATCACTTTAAATGGAAGATCCCCATAGACTCCGCCCACTCGATCGGATCGGTATCAGTCGATACTGATTCCAGTGATCGGCCCCAAAAAAATTTTTTTAGAAACTGTGTCTCAGGGCTTCTTAACATTTATGAAACTATTAATGTTCCATACTCACTTAATGGGAAGAAACTCAGCTACCTAACGATACAAACAATTTTTTCCGAAACAAAACACAAGTCTCACAAGAAGCGTCTAAATGAGCCCTGAGCGAAAAAATGCTATTGCACTTATAGGTATGGTATAGGTAACTCTAGGTATAAATACCCTTATTACTTATCGTATCTGCACAAACAAGATATCCATTAGCAAGCTGAGATTCCACAGATTCCAGAAATATTAGTATCATCACTGAGCGATCCGAACTCGCGACAGGGGAAGCGAAAACAGACGTCACAACACGTAGCTTCAAGGAGCAAACACAGGATAAATTCTTACCTCAGCTGTTGTTCTGATCAAAGGTTGTGTTCAATGGCATCAAAACGATGATAACGCGCTGAAGGTTCATCCAATGGTTCATCCAATGTGTCTGTGTCACTTTGAAATGATTTCTGATAATCCATCTTCATATTTACTAGTTTCAGCCTAGGTTTCAGTTTTCAGAGCATAACATAGGTTTCGACTGCGTGCGCGTCACACTAACTCAGTGGTTCTCAAACTTTTTCTGTCAGGCCCCCCCTTTGGAGGAAAAAAAAAGTCGGGCCCCCCCAACACAAATAGTCAGGCTCAGTGGCGGCGCCAAAGATTTATTTTGGGGGTACTCTAGGGTAGCTTGACGTTTCATACAGGGTGCTCAAACATTTAGGGTTTCCCATTAATGTACCGGGCGCTACAGTGGAATGTTCTACTGCAACACTCCCCACGCATACACACAGTGTACCCGCAACTGTTACAATGAAGGCTCAATAATCAGCTCATGGCATATAGGTGTAAGCAGGGGTAAAGTGCTATTTTTATAGGTGGTGTGTGGACCTCACATAGGGGGGTCCGGGGGCAAGCTCCCCCGGGAAGATTTATTTTTAAATATTGAAGTTAAAAGCATCAATCTGGTGCACTTTGAGAGCAAAATGAAGAGATCTACAGTATGGATACATCTCTCAACACAGAACTGTAAACAGATTTACTTTTTCTTTATGGATATTTTACAAATCACTCCCCTTTTTAAGGCAAGGCAAGGCAAGTTTATTTATATAGCACTTTTCAACACAAGGCAATTCAAAGTGCTTTACAAAAAATGAAAGATTAAGAAAATGGCATTTAAAATCAGTCATTAAAAAGAAAAGCTAATAAAATAAACATTAAAAGAAAAAGTACATAGATAAAAGTTTCAGTGCAGTCTAAGATATGAATAGTTCAATTAAACATTAAAAGAAAAAAAGTACATGGATAAAAGTTACAGTGCAGTCTAAGATATGAATAGTTCAATTAAAAGTAGCGACAAAAAGAAAAGTCTTCAGCCTGGATTTAAAAGTAGTCAGAGTTGCAGCGGACCTGCAGGTTTCTGGGAGTTTGTTCCAGATATTTGGAGCATAATAACTGAACGCTGCTTTACCATGTTTAGTTCTGACTCTGGGGACAGAAAGCTGACCAGTCCCTGAAGACCTGAGAGATCTGGATGGTTCATAATTTAGCAGGAGGTCAGAAATGTATTTTGGGCCTAAACCATTCAGTGCTTTATAAACCAGCAGCAGTATTTTGAAATCTATTCTTTGACACACAGGAAGCCAGTGTAAAGACTTCAGAACTGGAGTGATGTGATCCACTTTCTTAGTGTTAGTGAGGACTCGAGCAGCAGCGTTCTGAATTAGCTGCAGCTTTCTAATAGATTTTTTAGTGAGACCTGTGAAGACACCATTGCAGTAGTCGAGTCTACTGAAGATAAAAGCATGGACAAGTTTTTCCAAATCCTGCTGTGACATTAGTCTTTTAATCCTAGATATATTCTTTAGGTGATAGTAGGCTGATTTAGTAACAGTTTTAATGTGACTGTTGAAACTCAGGTCAGAGTCCATGACTACACCTAGATTTATGGCTTTATCTGTTGTTTTGAACATTGCACACTGAAGCTCAGTGCTAACTTTTATACGTTCTGACTTGGCTCCAAAAACCATTACCTCAGTTTTATCTTTGTTT